ATACTCATGCGTGTCTGACAGAATGATCGGTGTGTCTTGGCTTGCAGCAGAAAGAAATCGAGGTATCCTCCTGTGGCAGCGTCGGAACGATTTTACGCTGGCCAGTGGCTTTCAGAAAGACACCTTTGAGCCTCATGGATCTTTCCGTAATGCGGTTCGCAGAGCGCTGATGATCAAAAGACGAAGCGGACGTTGCCGCTCCATGCTCACATTTGACATTCAGGGTGACTCGGAAGAAGATCAATGCTGACGAGCCAGCATACCAAAGCTGCTCGAACGAGCTGGGCCAGATGGATCCTCTCGAAACCGCCCTTGGACTCGCTCAAGGATGCGATGCGATGCTGACCTAAAGGACAGCAACAGGCTGATGCTCATAATGCCGCCGTCTGATTATTGTCAGGTGAATGGTTGATCCGAGCAGCCGTTCTACGGCTTCTTCGTTGCCGTTATTGTAAGTCTCTGGTGCCGTGGTGGTGGCTGTTGTAATGCCTCTTTGCCTCTCATGATGAAAATGCAAGCGTATCGCCTACTGCTTGCTCCCTGTTTGCTATTTGTTGTTACACCGTCGTCGCACATGTCTTTTCCCACCAATGTTACATTGGCCGATCGAGTCTCCGATAGTGCTGCAATGACCTTCTGCACGACGTCATCCTGCGGCTTGTCCTCGGATCTAAGAAAGGAGTTCCCGACCCCCAACACTCCACACAATTTGGAGTTTTCTTCGGCTATATCAGCAGCTGTCTCGTATCAAGGCTTCATAGTCACGAAGGTTGTAGCTAGCCGGTCTTGCAGGCCCTCTGGACTGGATTCTTCTTACGATTACTCATATGGGGAAACATTTGAATGTTGATCTATTAAGAATCGATTGTCAATCTTTCTTGCTGGATGATCTTGGTGGACATGGACTGGCACTCTGGCTCGTTTAATCTGAGTAGCTATTGCATAGAAAGTGACCTGGATCCAACTCGTGAGTCGCTTGTATCTAGACATCCAAGACACGGCTCAGTGAGACTGCCTTGCCAGATGGAGGGACGGGTGGAAGCGTGATTTGTCCACCTGGACTGCGAATCCTGTGATCCATTTGTCCCAATGAAAGGATGAAAATACGAGGTGAGCCGGTAAAATCCCTCTCGACAGGGCAGAGACTGCCATGTACGTACCTCAACTACGCGAGGGCACTAATTAAAGCAACCGACGCAACCATCAGCATACCGGAAGTGACAGCGAGTCATTGTTAGGGTCAGCAACTAGCCAACCTCTCGTGAGGATAGGCAACTACTGCAGCAGAATAGTCCGAACGCTTCTCATTCGATCACCATTGTCGGTCCATGTGAGCGTTGGGTGGATGATCAGGAAAGGATCGGCTTGCGGGTGAGAGGCTGCAGCCTATGGTTCGTCATGGCCGATCTTTTTCCGGTATTGTGTCAATTTTGCGATCGACTCAACTGTTGATTGGGCCAAGATTGGATCGTTGTATACCTACTCAGTGGTATCAGCAGCCTCCAACATTCCCCGCAATCCGCAATGCGGGGAATATCCCCGTCGATTTTCTTCAATCGTCAACCGCCATTCGATCATTGTCAGCTCCCAGAAAACCTGATCTGCTGACCCTCCCGCGACGTCCTTGGAGTCGCGCTGTCCATGGAAACGACATGCCAGCCTCGGCTCTTGGGCTTCATGTGCCTTTACGATTGCTCATTTTTGGGTCCTGACCCCATCTTTGGTCTTCTCTTTGCGATTAACTTTGTCCCCTGGTGACTTAGTGTGCCCAAATGTCAGGGTGACTTTCGTCGGTCACTGCCAAATCGGGTCTTCGTCTCCGTCGCTGCGATGATTTACAGGGGTCAGTTCTGGTTTTCCCCATGGGCTTAACGTCCGTGACGAGCGGTAGATATGGGTCTTGTCACAGTCCTTCAGGCGGGGCATGCACCTGGCATCCATGGAACAGATCGAGGATAACGGGATGCAGACCGAGGAGACATGTGCATCCAGACCCAAATTGGGTGATGGCCGGAAAATGAATGCAGGATAAGTACTGCATAGATCCGCGTCTTCCCACGGATGGCTTGGAAAGGACATCCCTCTGCCGAGTGTCCACTTGTCTTCAGACCCATAGGCTGAACAGGCTGACTGACGCCATGCGTCTCCTCCGGACTTTTCTGCCGCTTCTGACCCTTTTACCGGCTGTGCTGGCGGCTCCGGCCAAGCGATCTGCGCCTACAGTCACGATCGCATCCCCCGCGGCCACCATTGTTGGGTCATCCGGGACGGTAGAGAAGTTCAATGCCATCCCCTTCGCCCAGCCACCTACGGGATCCTTACGTCTGAAGCCTCCCCAGCCAATACAGACGTCCCTGGGCACTATTGACGGCGCGGGCAGCGCCAAGTCGTGCCCTCAGTTCTTTTTCTCGACGGACAACAGCGAGTTTCCTGGGTCCGTCACCGGCCTCTTGGCCAACATTCCCCTCTTCCAGACCGTGACCAATGCCGGAGAGGATTGTCTGACATTGAACGTCGCCCGTCCGTCCGGCACAACGCCAGGCTCGAAGCTGCCCGTCCTGGTGTGGATCTATGGCGGTGGCTTCGAGCTGGGCGCGACGGCCACGTACGATGCCACTTCGCTGGTGGCAAGCTCGATCGACCTGGGCACGCCAATTGTCTTTGTCGCGATGAACTATCGGGTGGGAGGGTTTGGGTTCATGCCCGGGAAGGAGATCCTTGCCGATGGCGCGGCCAACCTGGGGCTCTTGGACCAACGCCTGGCCCTGCAGTGGGTGGCGGACAACATCGCAGCCTTTGGCGGCGATCCGGACAAGGTGACCATCTGGGGTGAGTCCGCCGGATCCATCTCTGTCTTCGATCACATGATCCTGTACGATGGCGACAATACCTACAAGGGGAAGCCACTGTTCCGGGGCGGCATCATGAACTCGGGTAGCGCGATCCCGGCGGACCCCGTAGACGGGGTCAAGGGGCAGCAGGTATATGATGCGGTTGTGGACTATGCCGGCTGCTCGTCCGCAGCAGACACGCTGGAGTGTCTGCGCGGATTGGATTATACGGACTTTCTGAATGCAGCCAACGCGGTGCCGGGCCTCCTGAGCTACCGTTCCGTAGCCTTGTCATACCTGCCTCGACCGGACGGCAAGGTAATCACTGCCAGCCCGGACATTTTGGTCAGAACGGGCAAATACGCGGCCGTACCAATCATTATCGGCGACCAGGAGGACGAAGGGACGCTATTTGCGCTCTTCCAGTCCAATATCACCACAACCACACAGGTGGTGGACTACCTCGCCAAGTATTACTTCTTCGGGGCGACGCGGGACCAGCTCGAGCAGCTGGTGGCCACCTATCCGGACGTCACCACAGACGGCTCGCCCTTCCGCACAGGCATTTTCAACAACTGGTATCCGCAGTTCAAACGATTGGCGGCCCTGCTCGGCGACCTCACCTTCACTCTGACGCGCCGAGCATACCTCAAGTACGTGACGGAGCTTAAACCCGACCTGCCGTGCTGGTCATACCTGTCATCGTACGACTATGGGACGCCCATCATGGGCACCTTCCACGGCAGTGATATTCTGCAAGTGTTTTATGGCATTCTGCCGAATTACGCGTCGCGCGCGATTCACACCTACTATTTCAGCTTCGTGTACGATCTCGATCCGAACTCCCGCCGGGGTAGCCTTATGGAATGGCCGCGGTGGAACGAAGACCAGCAGCTGATGCAGTTCTTCAACAATCAAGGGGCCTTGCTGGCGGATAATTTCCGCAATGACACGTACAACTTTATTCTGGAGAATGTGGATTCGTTCCATATCTAGTTTAGTATATAATCTGCGATATGAGCTTACGACTGATGAATTAATTAATGAATGGATATGATTTGCTGATGATCCAGCTTGCACGATAGTTGGCCCGTAGCCTTCGATCATGCGGTTTATCCAACGGAATCAACACAACGTTCCAACAATGGCTACCATTATGTGTGGCAAGTCAAGGACGCGATCATTGTACTACCAAATTGCATTGTATGGGAATCCAGTCCGGTCTGAGATAGAAAGAAGGCTCTTCAGCCGACTTCCAAGCGACAACTCTACTCTGTAACACAGCGTAGACGGTGCTACAGGCGATCTGAGTCATATAAAAAGTTCAGGACGGTTATGACTGGCAGAGACTTAATCCAAGTATCATGTCGGTTAAAGCAATTGAGGCTACAATTGATGAGCTCATCTTAAGGCGGAGCACGTAATGGCATCGACCCACAGTGATTAAGTCTATCCTGGTATAGTCAACTGGCGATCTCTCTCCATTTGAATATTCCTGATGTGATCCTATGGACGTGTTCAACTGCCGCCTTGTGCATCCGATGAGGAACTCCGAACATACGCACCAGACAGAGCTCGGGGAAAACCCGCAAGAGTACGACAGCGGGGAAATATATGCCGACGTATTCTGCATATCCCCGGTCTCGACAACATAGACAAGCATTTTGCTGCGAAACCTGATTAGCCCGAGCTGCGCTTCTTCTACTCCGAACCGGCACTATTGGATGGGAATGGTGCCACAAGGAGCTAAAACGGCAATTTGTCCGACACCCTCGGCCCTCCTTTTATGGCCACCGTGCACGTTGATTCTCGTCCAATAATGATGGGCTTGACCGTCTCGCCTAGAGTTTTAGACTCTGAGCTAGTAGGTAGTATCAATATTGACTTGTTTTGCCGACCGGCTATCCTGATTCCTGACCCATCGACCAGTGTGGTCCGTTGCCGGACAGCCATGCGCGGAACTCCTCTGCTTCAACTCAATTATCTTCAGTCTTGCGAGTCAGAGGCTGGATGAGAGCACTGACCTATTCAATCACATCATCCCGCTGTCATAAGATCAATATCCGCCTGTATCCACACTGCGGTCTCTTAAAAGCTGCTAGCTCACCGCCACAACGACACAGTGAAAGCCTCCATTCTAATCACTTATGATATTCAGTTTTTTTGAACATGAAGATTCATAATCTTATAGCCCTTTCAGGGCTACTAGCGGCCTCAGAGGCTGCATCCGTCGGCCAGGATACCCTACTCATGCCCAGGAAACAGGCAAAGCAGCCAAACGTACTGTTTATCATGTCCGACGATCAAGATCTGGAATTGAATTCCCCGGCCTTCACGCCGTATATCCAGAAACATATCCGAGACAAGGGTGTCGAATTCACCAATCACTTTGTGACAACCTCCCTCTGCTGTCCGTCGCGCGTCAGTTTGTGGACAGGACGCCAGGCTCACAACACCAATGTAAGAATTGTGTTTGACATGAAGGGAAAGATTGCTGACGACGCGCAGGTTACAGATGTTTCGCCACCATGGGGTGAGCTGCCCTTCGCTGTGAAACAGACGAGTAAATGCTGACAAGAGAATAGGAGGATATCCCAAGTTCGTGTCACAGGGTTTCAATGAGGCCTGGCTCCCTGTGTGGCTGCAGGAAGCCGGCTACAACACCTACTACACGGGCAAACTCATGAACGGCCACAACACGAGTAACTACAACTCTCCTTTCCCCAGAGGTTGGAATGGATCGGACTTTTTGCTTGATCCGTATACGTATGCCTACCTTAACTCCACTTACCAGCGGAATTGCGAGCCCCCCAAGAGCTATGCGGGCCAATATACGACAGATGTCATCGCCGAAAAGTCCTTGGGCTTTCTCAACGACGCTCTAAGCAGTGATCGGCCATTTTTCCTTGCGGTTGCTCCCATCGCGCCGCATTCCAACATTGAGCCTAGTGCGATGGGGAACGCAAAGGGTGTTCTGATGACCGCTCCCATTCCTGCTGAGCGACACAAGGATCTTTTTCCAGATGCCAAGGTGCCGCGGACGGCGAATTTCAACCCCAAGGTGCCCACCGGAGGCGGATGGGTGCAGCACCTCCCGCTGGCTAATCAGACCGTCATCGACTACCAGGATAATTTCTACCGCCAGCGATTGCGAACGCTGCAGGCGCTGGATGAGATGGTAGATGCTCTCATCACGCGGCTCGAGGAGAGTGGTCAAGCCGAAAACACGTATATCATCTACACGGCGGACAATGGGTTCCACATTGGCCAGCACCGGATGCCGCCAGGTAAGTCGTCTGGCTACGAGGAGGACATCCACGTTCCGTTCTACATCCGAGGACCCGGCATTCCCAAAGGGAAATCTGACGACTCGGTGACCACGCACATTGATCTGGCTCCGACCTTCTTCCAGCTTGCGGGGATCCCTCTGCGAGAGGACTTTGACGGCACACCGATGCCAGTCGCAAAGGGGGTAAAGGGCATCGCGCACGAACATGTCGCAGTCGAATTCTGGGGTAAATCGCCGCTGGAAGGAGAATACGGTGCCTTGGGTTAGTTCACTGTTAACAAGCTCTTATCCAAGCATGACTGACATCTGCAGCACCTGGCGGTTCGTTCTCCATGCCCAACAACACGTACAAATCCGCGCGTATCGTTGGCAACGGATACAGTCTGTACTACTCAGTCTGGTGCAACAACGACCACGAGCTGTACGATATGCTCCGAGACCCCTACCAGGTCAACAATCTCTATACCAACGCCAATGCGACGACGCCCCATCTCCTCGGCCGCGATCTGTCCAACGTCATCACTCGTCTTGACGCACTACTAATGGTTTTGAAATCATGCAAGGGCGATACCTGCATCAAGCCGTGGGACGTGATCCATCCAGATGGCTCAGTGAAGGATCTACGGGATGCTCTGAGCACAAAGTATGATCAGTTCTACCGTGCCCAGCCCAAGGTCTCGTACTCGGCCTGCGAAGGAGGGTATATTATCAGTTCGGAGGGACCACAGAATGGATTGGTCTATCGCGATGGATTGAGCTGGGAGGCTTGGACATGATAGATACGTACATATAGACGCTAGACAGCACTAGATTTAACTGTAAATACAGCAATGCATTAGAAACATCAGATATCACCATTGATGCTATTAGAGAAGGTCAAGGCACTACTGTGTATCTTGTTTTACACTTATTTATAGAACATGTCTTCAAGATTTCCTATAACGTTTGTATTCACCTTGCTACAATCAATACCTGAAGTGATCCGATCCAAACGCATGCAACGATCAACCCGCCAACACACTAAGTATTAGGAACCATCAATCGATCAACATCCGGTCCTACATCCATCAGCAAGCCATCAATAACTCCCGGAAGAAAGGAACCTACCATATCCCTGTCCGTACGCACTAAAGGTAACCGTATTCCCACTCCCGCTGTTGAGGTCAACATGCAACGACGACGACGCAGGCGTACTCCCCGACGGCAAAAACGCCAGAACCTGCGTCTTCCCATTCACACTAACAGTCGCATACCGCTGAGTCGAGTCCCCATTCTCATACTTGACGCGGATGGTGCTCCTCGTCGACGCGCTACTCTGCACCCCCACAATCTGCAGCGTCCCGTCCGACGGCCCGCCGATCCAGCCGACGGCCTCGCTGCCGGAGCAGCCGCTGCAGGAGATGACTTTTGCGCCGTTGGAGAGCACGCTGGTGGCGGATTCGGCTTCGGGGGTGGTTTCGGCGGGGCCGGGGGTCCAGGTGCCTTGAAGGGGGAGGATCCAGTTTACTTCGTTTTGCTGGTGGCGGTGTTAGTGAGGGCTGCCATCAAGGTGGGGGGCCGGGCCGTCTTACCAGTGAGACGTTCGTTCCGCTGAGGGTTAGAGGTAGCCAGATGTATGTTGAGGCCATGAGGTTGGAGGAGACCCAGCGGTCACCCATGTACCTTTACCTAAGGGTTAGTCTCTGATGATATTTGATTGAAAGGGTTATTACATTACTGAGTCGCCGACTCCGAGGATAAAGGTGGTCTGGGAGTTGTAGGTATTTGTTCCAGAGGGCGCAAAGTTCGCCCAAGAGCTCCAGGGGCCGCTGAGGCTCGTGGAAGTGGTGTACTTGTTGTCATTGGTTGCTATAGCCGGGTCAGTAGAGCTATGTGGAACGACAAAAGCCAAAGGGCATTAGGGCACATACCCCATCCTGCCAATGGTTAGCCAGAGCAAGCTGGAAATTGCGGGATCAGTTACCTGTTAACTGTGAACCAAAGAGAAAGTACACCCCGTTCTGTTTATACATGGCAGGGGCCTCGATATGATCCGGGAAGAGGTGCGTAGTAGAAGTCACATTGGTATAGTCGTTGGTCAACCTGTTGATCCTCAATCCGTTCGGGCGCTACAGAGTCAGCTTCCATCAACAAGACAGATGTTATAGACCTACATCCTCAGAGAGCAGATACGCCGACCCATCGTCATCCTTGAACAAGCCCATATCGCGCGACTGATGCCCCAAAGGCTGGAACGACCCACTAAACCAGCGTGTTAGGCTGCTGATTGCACATCACAGAGTCAGACTTACAGGTAAGTGTACTTCCCACAAACACTCGACGAAGTCGCAACTCCAGTCTTCGCCTCGCCATAGGAACTGCTGTCGATATGCATCCACATTACGTATTTGCTGGTGGCCTCGTTGTAAAGGACCTTGGGCCGCTCGACAACCCGGTTGGGCCCAAGATCACCGCTACTCTGCAGAGAGAGGAGTTCTCCTACATATGTCCATTCCACCAGATTCTGCAGGCGTTAGCCTTGAGGTCGGCGGACTTTAGGTTATGAACGTACCTTGCTGGAGTAACAGTTGACAGACTGGAACGCGCTCCCGTTGAGCTTGTTCTCACCGATCCAGTAGTAGGTCGAATCGATTTCAATGATTCCTGTGGCACGGGTGTTAATAAGTATATCCATCCAGTAATGGTAAAGTTGCCTACCTCCACCATGCGCTTGGACATGCTGGTTAGTACCACTGGCAGTCCATGTACCCCCGGGAATCTGGTCATGTTAGCAGAAGATATCCCACTTTAACCCTTCGAGGAACTGACAATCTGCAGAGAAGCAATGGTTGTTCCTGCAAGAGCCAGAGCAGCAATCAGACGGCTTATGAGCAACATCCTGATAATCCCGTACTCGGCTAGAGATCCTTTGACAATAACGCAAGACAGGGCAATCCATTCTGCAAGACATGAACCCTTTTCTTATATACACTCCAGAAGCGGGGCCGGCAGAAATATGGAGCAGGCTTAATTGCGGAGCATCTATCCTACATTATCTGAAGCCGGACATATTGTCGGACAGCCAGCCGCTGCAGGTCCGTCTGGAGAAACAAAAGCCCACAATCAGCGTCCATGGGGAAATATGGTGGGCCGAACACCGGGGGATCTACAAGGCCTGAGACATGATCCGGGTAAAATACATCCGACGAATAGCCCGTTGAGAGAGTATTACCAGAGAAAATATGATTGCATGTGCATGTGTCATTACAGGGTAGAGAGCAACTCGTACCCAAGGGAATTATCCGAAATAGAGCATCCAGTTTACAGATCTTCTTGTGTCCCTGCTGTGTTGACCCTGCTGCTCCTATCATTCCTACTAGCTAGAGATGGTTGTCCAGACGCCATTTTGGCCGAGTGGTTTGATATATGACAGATCTTCTACATTGGACTACTCAAAGGGGAACAATGTCCCATCTTTAATGCAGTTCTACGTTGTTCCTCAGACAGGCACAATTGCTTCAAAGCAGATGGCTGATTCACTGGCGGCATGCTTCACAATGTGGCATCCCTCATCGACACTTCGGCCGATTCAAAGGGTGTATATGACTGAGCACTCCGATGGCAATTGACACATTTGCAGCCAGCATATACAAGGCGGTTCTTCATTCAATCCCAGAACTATCAACAATGGGAAACGCGGGGTAGACCATGTGGGGGCGGCCCCGCATGGATCCAATTCTTCATTGGAGCGAATCGGCTTCGTCGTTGGATTCTGTTGCATGATTCATCCCACCACTGAGTCATTGTTCAGATGACCTTTGATTCGCGGCCTGACGCAAATCAGTGTGCGTCTAAATGTAATCATTCCTTCAGGAAACAAGATGAAAGGTCTGGAATGCTGCACAGCCTGAGTACATGCCTCTTAAATAGCTCTACAAGTCCACAGCCGCCATCACTCAAAACAAGAACAGAACATGACCCAGTGCAACTACCAGGTCCATGAACCATCTTAAACAGTTGACCATGCTCCTCAAATCGGGTGTGAGAATCTCCTTAGCTGCGGGAGTCTGTGCTCCGTTCTATGTGCCTTATAGTCGGTCAAAAGCACCGGCTCAGTACCTATCGAAGACAATCCAGAGGTAAGCTTAATCAACCTCACATTAAAAGTCAGCGTGGGATCTACCTGCTGATCTAGCTAGTAGAGAATATCCTGCGATCGGTCCACTGTTTCATCTGTATTGATAGAGTTGGACGTCAGGAGTCCTCGGTTATACACAATGTATCAGAGAGTCATGTATGAATGCAAAGCGAAGCTCAAGAGTAGAAGTGGATTATCTGAGCATAATACTGATGATTGACCTGTCATTCACAGTAATGTATGCTCGACACCTTGTTCTACTTAGACCGGTCGCCTGGTTTTAAGAATCAATGGAGGCTTGAACATTGCTGCTATCATGTACCTGCTGGATAGCTACTCTACCTGAGCCGGCCCATTGCTGGTCATCATCTGCGCTTCAAAGGTATTATTTTCTTCGGAACGAGCAATGGCACAGCCCATTTATTGACTCGCGCGGATATGATGGCGCCTTTGGCACTTTTCTGGCTTGACGGGTGCCCTGGGTCTGCTGGGAATCCGGTATTTTTCTGGGGAAGAAAATCTTTCAATTCACTGGTTGTTTGCAAAGGATAAGAGTGATTGAGAGTAGACCCGATATTCACATCTATGAATTAATAATGGAGATGGCTGAGCATGCTGTAGAGACTGACCCAGACAGTGCATGTGAAGTACATAACCTATAAACAAATAAACATAATTCTATTTTCAGGAACTCTCTGAGTTTGATTCTTAGTAAAAATTGTCTACTCCCTCAGAATAATGAACTTTCTGACAGGCAACAGCAACAGCCGGGCTGTTCTTGAGTTGACTGTGGCGGGCAGTACTACTATCCCAAGCGGGATGACTCTCTCTGACAGCGTCATCAGAATCGACAGAAAGCCTCGCATTCCTCGATAGATCGAGCAATAATCTCTAGCTCAATATCCGCCCCTCACCATGACAGATACTCAAGGTACCAAAATCACGCTATACTGGTAAAAAGACTACTGCGTCGCGCAATGTCAGAAAGAAACAAAGAAACTAACCGGAACCAGGCTGGAAAAGTCCCGTGCCCAACGGATTGTCTGGCTCCTGGAAGAACTCGACGTCCCCTACGAGATCAAGACCTTTAAACGGAAAGCCGACATGACAGCACCCGACGAGTTGAGAAAGATCCACCCACTGGGTAAATCCCCCGTTGTCACCATCACCACACCTGACTGCTCGGAGCCACTCGTTCTGGCCGAGTCCGCGGTGATCATCGAGTATCTCTGCACCCACTTCGGCGGGCAGAAGCTGATCCCAGAGAGATATGCCAAAGGAAAAGAAGGCAAGGTCGGCGGGGAGACGGAAGCGTGGATGCGATACCAGTATTTCATGCACTATACCGAGGGGAGTCTGGCGCCGTTTTTGGTGATGAAGGTGGTTATCGACGGTATGTCCATACTCCATAGATCTCATCGTGGATGATGACTGATGATTTTTCAGGTATGAGGAATGCGCCGGTTCCATTCTTCATCAAGCCAGTGACTAGAATGATAGCGTCCAAGGTGGAAGGTGCCTTTATCAATCCCAACATCCATACCCATCTTGGCTTCCTGGAAGACCGGCTCAAGACGGCGCCAGGCGGCGGTCCCTATCTTTGTGGAGATACGATCACAGCTGCTGATATTCAGCTGAGCTACTCGGTCATCGCGGCGTTGTCAAGGCTGGCATCCCTTCGGAGCCAGTATCCAGGAGTAGCAGCCTATGCTGATCGGCTACAGGCCGTTGAGAGCTACAAGCGGGGGGTTGCGCAAATCGAGCGTATTGAGGAAACATCACAGCTAGTTTATGAACTGGCCTTTTTTGCTATGCAGCCCGGAAAGTCAAGCCCTGTTGTGCTATTGTCATATTGGGGGGCAGGTTGTCGTAATGTATAGTCGAGGCAGTCCTGGTGGTGAGCATTCCTATGGTTTATGCAAATGGGAGCACATATATAGATAAATCAATGACAAACTTTACAAATAATTTAAAACCAATCCATGTAATACAACGAATATAAGGTACCAATGCCGTTGTTTCTCCTGATACGGCCTAAAGATCTGAGTTATATGGTTCAAAACGGACACATTCGCCAAGCAACAGCATCATTGGTCTAGTGGTAGAATTCGTCGTTGCCATCGACGAGGCCCGTGTTCGATTCACGGATGATGCATTGTATTATTTTTCCCCCTTTCCTTTTTCCTCCATTCATGGCTCATCTTTAGTCATTGAAATTTTGGTCATTTTCTGATGGTGAATAATCACAGTCCAGGTCGACCTCGCCTTACAGGCACATATCCATTGACAAACAGGCTCTGATATGTCCATAATAATCGCAAAAGAGCATGCACAGTAGAAACAACTCAATCCTTGGCGAGTGCACTGAGAATGGTCCAGCCACTTGGTGCCGTCTTTCTGATACTCGTATCATTCTTCAAAAAGCAGCGATGGGTGCGGTTGGTGGATGAAGGTGCCGTTTCATCCCAGGTCACTCCCTTGCATGCGGCTCCCTTGATCATGACATTATAATTCACACAGCGCTGGATGCACTGTTCAAGGGAATTGGTCTTGAAGTTTACGAGATTGTCGTCGGAGATGGTGACGCTCGCACAACCACCCGTGTCAGAGCAGAGATCCGTGTCGCATAACCGGATATAGTCCTTTTGCAGGACGGTGATTGTCGTCCCGTTCATCGCGGGACAGCTTGTGACGCTGGAGGCCGCCGAAGACGAACTCGAAGTTGAAGTAGAGGCGGCTGGTGCGGTCGAGGTAGGGTTGGAGGAACTGTTCCATTGAATACCCAGATCAGCATTGTTCAATCATCCACATACATTCTCTACTCACCCGGAGTCCTTTTTCGCAAAAGACCCGCCTACACCCGCCGCTACAGCAATGACGACCACAGCAACCACCACAGCAATCCAGAAATACCGTCGCCGCAACCCGCATATTGTTCGCGGAGCATCTTTCACACTTTTGACTTCTTGGCCTTGGCCAACCTCTGTTTCGACTGGTATCGGTGCGTCGGATCCATCTCCGGCGTAATAGAGGGGTGCATCTCTCTCGTACTGCGGAATCAGACCATCGGGTATCACCACTTCAAGACCAGGCTGTTCGGGAGAACTGGGTTCCTTGGTCTGCTTGCTTTCCATCATGGGCAGGCAGCACGGAGCTTTGTGTAATCAGGACATTTTGTTTGAGGAAAGTAAATGTCAGCCGCATGGGCGTATGTGGAGCTTAAAAGGGCTCTTGGGTCGATGGCCAAGAAATCTGTGCATGGGATGAGCCCCTCAGGCTAATTTGACGAATATTGTGAGCCAATGGTTTGTTTTGATGTTGGTTGGCTATGTGGCTAGTCTCTGACTAGGCTTAGACAAGGCTTAGACAAGGCTGGAATGACAGTTATTCTACTCTGAGAAAACAGCTAAGAGGGCAACGGTATTGCAAATATCTATATCTTGAAGATACAGGTCGGAGTACTGAACCTGATTCATGTTACTGTACCCTCTTATATATAAACAAATAACATTGAGTGTGAGAAAAGGAGAGAGAAACATCAATCCAGAGTCAAGAGTCAAGAGTCAAGACAGATCACCAAACATTGAGTTTATACTAACAGTTAGTGCCGGTTATTGACCATTTATAAGCCGATCCGAATAGCACAGGCTCCATATTATCAATGGCTGTGTAGATGATGTAGATCATCTCTAGAAAGAGAATCAGGGATATCTCCAGTCTCCACAGTCTCCAAGGGGAAGCTGACTCGTGTAAAGCCGTTCAGTTCTACGAGAGGTAAACTGCTAGAATAATGTTTGTATTCAGTCCCAAACCGCTCAGGGTCGGTTTCGATTTTTGCGGTTCGGTTATGCAACTCTAGGTGGGTTGGGAATTGCATTATCGAGACTTCTTAGAGTCAGCAGTCGAATCTGCGCGGCATCAGGAGACCCTCAAAAGAGGAGAAGGCGCGGGATGGCCGGCTCAGATTTCCTTAACGCTTTGGTAACGTAGACTGGGAGCCGAGAGAAATCAGTGTGGACTGTACATTATTATGACCAAACGATACTACCAGAGTTTGTCAGGGACTATATACATTGAAATATAAGGATAAAATGGACATATAATATGGTGTATGGAGGTGGCCGGGTCGTTTATATGGCCAGGTGGCCTACAGATTACTGTTAGTTAGATAGGATGGTCTAATTTGTCAGAAAAGAACCTTATAGTTGATTGAAGGGAAGATAACAAAAGGCTGATTATGAAATGAAGATTATCAAGTTGACATACAGTCCGCGGAATTGGTCCGCTGTGGGAGGACATACTGTATGGCGCATAATTAGGACGTACTACGGCATGTCCAACATTCCTGTGTCATCTAAGTGGTACATTGCTGTAAATCTACAATCAGCAATGATGTACATAGTAACGATTATTCCGCCCATCGTTTACCATTGTACAGGAAAACGTACACAAATGGAAGCTGTACTATCCTAGCTTACAAATTCAGTGTTGTATATTAGGAATCTGTCTCTAGCAATGTATACTGAATTTCTAATCAGCTGGTGACTACCTATTGCGTCTATATAAATGATTGCATCTACGCATTTAGTGGGCATCTGTAACTACCAAGTCAAACTGAAGTCATCTGCATTCTACACACCTAAAAGTTTTGTACACTAAGCACTCGTCCCTCCGCGATATGGAGTTCTTCTTCATCCCAGGTACCTGCGCCCTGGCGGTCCACATTGCCTGTCATGAAGCAGGCATACATCTACAGCTCCGGCAGCTCGAACGTACTCCAACAGGTCTGCAGGTGAAACTCGGAGACGGCAAGCCTCGCGATTACATGTCTCTCAACCCGAAAGGCAAAGTGCCGGCGATCCGGTTTCACGATGGAGGGATCTTGACCGAAAATCAGGCGATCTTGCAATACATCGCTTGGGAGCTCACTCCCAAAGAGAAGATGCTCATACCACAAACCGGTCCTGCCCGGTGGAGAGCTGTTGAACTGTTAAACTTTATTACGACAGACCTTCATAAGGGCTTCTCGCCACTTTTGAACCGCGACATTTCAGCAAAGCATAGAGAGGCGGTCATTCGGGATCTAGGAAAGGCCTTTACGGTCTTGCAAGACATTCTTGGAGACAAGCCATTTTTATTGGGCGAAGAGTTTAGTGTGGCGGACTGTTATGCTTGGACAGTTCTGACATGGACGAGATTCTTCGATGATATCGATCTGGCAAAATGGCCGCGTCTCGTCAAATATCGCCAAAGGATTCTGCACAGGCCTAGTGTTCAGAAGGCCCTGGAGGAAGAAGGATTGAAGTTGGAGCTCTGACGTGAGGAAATGTACTAAGTGTCCGGGGCCTCAAAAAGATTGCAATTTCTGAGCGCCAGCAGACTGGAACGATAGTATAGTTATTCATAATAATAGTAAAGTATATCTGTGCTTGATTGGCCCTTCTTTCCAGACCTAGATTGTACAACGTCTCTAGGGCAATGTGCGGTCCCAGATGGCCTTTCCACTGGTCTGCCACTGCGTTGCGACACGTCCAAATGGGTGCGATCGAGACAGAGTGTGACACTTAACCCAATATTTTGGGGGCTCGCTCTCGTAGTCGAACTAACGAAGGATGAGCACTCCAGGAATCCAAGGACAGCATCGAGCAAGCTAGGAATGGCTGCTCTATTCAAGATGGTTTCTGTTCTTATCAATATATTTACAGAATCTTAGGGGGCAGACAAGCCAGACTAAGAAAGACAAAGCCTACTTTAGGCATTTCTCACCAGCTTAGGACTCTACTAACCAGTCATTACTTCTGCAAGCACATCAATGATTCGGTGATTTCCTCAAGCATGGTCCAAGTGGAGGCTCGCCAGTTCTCCTATTCGCAGACACAAACATTTTTCCATGCAGACTGCGGGGCAGCCGATGCTCTCGATTCTCAAGAGTCGAGTCAGCTTCGTCACTTTAGCTGCAGGAAGCTAGTTCCTAGCGAAGCAGACTAACGCATCACCACAACCATCCTGTCCATGATGCCAGGAGAGCTAATTACCCCCATGCCGTTTCACATGAGAATTCTTACGACAAGGAGATAGCCCCTCTTTTGCAAGCAATTCCTCGGGGTGGAATTCTGGGAGCCTGGGGTCGGCAAATCACTCAATAATGGTATCCTAGGACAAAGGCAGGATCACAATGGCTGTCCTTGCGGTAATCGTGGTAGCGCTGGTCGTCTACTGGGTCATCCAGGGCATTTACCGACTCTATTTCCACCCGCTGAGCCATATTCCCGGACCAAAACTGGCTGCGATCACCCATGGCTACGAATTCTACCACAACATCATCAGGGGAGGTATCTTCATCTGGGAACTCGAACGACTGCACCAAGTATACGGTGGGTATATCTTGATTACAGACCAGCTCAGACAGCTAACCGTCTCAGGACCGATCATCCGCATAAACCCGCGGGAGGTCCACGTCAAGGACCCCGACTACTACGATGAGATCTACGCCTCCAGCCTTCGCAAGCGCGAGAAGGACCCCGTGCTAATCAAGCAGTTCAACCTCGAAGGCTCCAGCTTCTCCAGCATCGACCCAGAGTCTCACCGGCAGCGGCGCGCACCCGTCGAGAAATACTTTTCGAAGCGGGCCATCGAGAAATGGAGGGCCTAATCCACGAAAGCCTCGACAGACTCGTCTACCACTTCAAGGAAGCCCATGCCTCGCATCAGGTGGTCAGTCTGGACGCGGGATTTGCAGCCTTGACCTCTGATGTTATCTACAAGTACGTGTACGGGTTCAACCCGGCTAACGTCGACAAGGAGGGGTTCAACGCCAAGGTCAGAGACGGAGTCAACGGGCTCTTCCAGCAAGCGCACCTCCTGTACTTTTTCCCCGTCCTGCAAACCATCATGAACTTGACGCCGCTGGAGGTCTTGCGCAAGTACAACCCCCCCGCGTTTGCTCTCGCCAGTCAGAAGAAGGATTTGTACAATCGGGCCGCGGCCGCGCTGGAGAATGCGCCTTCGCGTTCCAAGGACAGCGACAGCGGGACTGTGATTGATGCTCTTGCGGCGCCGACAATGCCGGCACACATGCGCAAGCCGGAGCGGCTGATGAACGAAGGATTCTCCCTGGTGATTGGTGGCACGGAGACGACGGCTCGTTCGCTTGCGCTCGGCGCGTGGCATTTGTATAGCAGGAAAGATATTCGGAACAAGCTCAGGGAGGAATTGAAGCAGGCAATGCCTACCGCAGATTCGAGACCAACCTGGAACCAACTTGAACAGTTACCTTACTTGGTGAGATTCTAGACCGAGGGAGTTCTACATTACTAACCCTAGCAGTCCGGCGTGATTGCTGAATCTCTGCGTCTCTCTACTGGTATCGCGAGTCGCTCTGCAAGAGTCGCGCCTACGGAGGCGTTGGTATACAAGGGCTACAGTATACCACCGGGGGTCAGTACAATAAGCCACAAAATCTAGGAGCAAGATTAACGAAGATGTATAGACTCCCGTCAGCGAAACAAACTACTTCGTCCTCATGGACCCCGAAATCTTTTCCGACCCGCACGCGTTCGACCCGGAAAGATGGATACGTGTTGCTGCAAAGGGACACCGGCTCGATCGGTACATGGTGAACTTCTCCAAGGGGAGCCGGATGTGTGTTGGCTTGAAGTATGTGCAATATCGCTTGACCAGCTGTCCACGACTGACCTATGTAGTCTGGCGTATGCGGAGCTCTTCCTGGTTACCGCGACGTTGGTGCGCCGGTTTGATATGGAGCTGTATGAAACGCCCAAGAAGAATATTGAACTTGCTCGGGATTTTGGCACCCCGTACCCTGAGAAGGGGAACTTGAGCGTACGGGCGATTATTACGGGTGTCATCGAGTAGTGTGCATAGTCTGTGATCAAGGGTGAATCTGAGGTTGATTCGGCAGTGTCATCCACTAAGGGGTTCACCCTATGTTTAGAAGAAGAATGTGAGTATCCAAGCAAGGGAAATATGTGTAAATACTATGGTGGTGTATCTGATGGAGGAAATTATGCACATGTACAAGGACCAGGTAAGCCAGAAGATCTGGGGTAGTAATAACATGGACAATTTGACCAATTGGCACTGTTGGAGCATAGAGAAGGACATAGTGAAGATGAGTTATACAGGTTAGTTTGCCTTATTATAGACTGCACATACTTCCTGCTCATCGAGACCTCATGGTCATCCCCAACTCATATATAGTCCTGTACTGTATGCTCCACCTAGTCACAGAGCTTAGCTCAAATCCTGCTGACCTATAGATATTCAGCTGATATATCTATAACACCACATAAATCTGTTCCGTATGCGAGTATAATCATGGTGAGGAATTCAATGTATTTGCAATGGGGACGATATACTAAGGATCTGAATTCTGGGCATGGTGGACTGGATCAGTCGTATGTTGCTACTCACTAAGGATGAAAGAAGAAAATAAGGCTTCCACATGGCAATGAGCAGAGCAGAAGATTCCCCTTGAGATGACAGGAAACAGGTAGACAACTACTAAAATCACAAAATCTTGTAATCTACAAGCCGGCTGGCGCTCATTCCGCTCGCTGCAGCTTGAAGTTCAGACCTAGGGCCCTCACTTCTCAGGCAACATTAATTCTTTTCGAGTGTAATATTTGCATCAAATACTATAAGTACCTACACTAATATTGTACTATATAATCCTATATAGCCTTATATTTATCTATTATAATATTATCTTCCTTATCTACGGTTTAATGTAGTAATGAATAGAACGCAGGAATAGGTGGGTAGAGAGCAGTGGCTAGGCCTGTGATAGGGACACTATAGTGCACTATAAGAGGTTCTAGATACTGGTAGGGGCCTGAAGCAGTAGCTTAGGAGGTAGGAGCTTTAGGGCCTTAAAGGCGGCAGAGAAATAGAGAATTAAGGCGTGAAAGAAGACGCATAAAGACTAAACATAAAGAGGTAATTAAATTGAACTTAACTGATTATTGAGCAATTATTAAGGTGTTGAATTCATTATTTCCTTAGGATAAGGGTAGATGATTACAGAGTAAAAACTGTTCTAGCCAAAGAATGGAATAGCGCCAATAAACTAACATGTGACTACCTATAGTTAAGCGCAGCCACTTAGTAAGTTTAGGACACGTCCTCCGCCCTGTGGGGCGTACGCGCTGCCATCCTGGAAACGCCCCGTTCTGGACCGTGTCATGCCTCATACCAATCAAGACATTTCGCGCCTTACATCTCCTGTTTCCGTACCTCACTCTCCTCCTACACTGGCCACAAGAACTGAAAGCGAGACTCCGGCTTGGAGATTATGGCCATTATTCGCAAAACGAGCGAATTGACATACTACTACATTGACTTGGGGGACCATACCCTGGATGGTGTTGAAAGCCTCTGTCCGCTCGACAATGGACAGCGACATGATGCCCCAAGGAGTACGCTGGGAGCTTTGGACAAACTCCCTTTGGAACTTCTTAACATAGTGCTCATGCAACTTGGAATCCGGTCACTTACCGACTTTCGACGCGTCAATCGACAAGCCAGAGGGGTCGTAGATTCGATTCCACAATACCGAAAGATCATCCAGCACGCACCTGCTACTATCCGAGGAATCCTGAGCATCGAAACAGGAGATTGGATCTCTTGGCAGAATCTCTACGCAAAGCTATGTACGGCTGAGTGCGACGGCTGCGGTGATTTTGGCGGCTATTTATACCTGATCACGTGTCGTCGTGTTTGTTTTCTCTGCTTCACGGAGAAAACTGCTTATCTTCCTCTGCTCCGAACGGATGCCATGCGGAAATTTGGACTCCGTCGGGGGCACCTAGCGAATTTGCCTCGAATGAAAAGTATTCCAGGCCGCTACTCACCGCGGGAGATCAAATGCAGTACGCGACTAACACTCATTGACCATGACGCTGCGCGACAAGCTGGGATTCGCTTGCATGGGTCTGTCAATGCCATGGAGCATCATACAGCAGAATTGGCATCTGCAAAACTAGAGAAGTATCAGCATCGAGCCTCACGACATGAAGCGCGTCAAAGTCAACGTACGCGCCGGCCCAAATTAGAGGATGACTTTGATGGATTTTCGTCAAATCCTAGACGTTTCATGAGCATTGTTCGTGCACCGCTCATAGATACGCGCCTAGGAACTATTGAATGGGGATTTCACTGTATTGCTTGCAAATCCCACCATTATGATAAGCCTCTTCATTGGCGCCGGATGTTTACAAACGACAGTTTCCAGAATCATATCTCGGAATGTGGGGAGGTAATAAATGGACATCACAACAGACAGTTGGATAATGATCAATGACGACAATGACCGACACGAATAACAAAATCCTCCACGCCAACTGTTTCGTCTCAGAAGCAGCAATAAATGCTGTCGCCCCTTCGACCTTTCTTGTTCTGAACCTTTGTTCATCTGCGCATCTCGTCCTTGCCAGGTTTCACCATATAATCGAGTGAGTATTTCCGCAATTTTACCTCAACTCTTACGTTGACTGCACTTACCTTAATCCGGAGTTTTCGGTCGAGCCAGCTCGGGGAAGAAAGGCTTTGAACTAGAATATCGAAGACGTAGACGTATATTTGGCCTGAAAAAGTAGTCTGAGCGTTGGGTTAAACGAAATGATGACGGTGTAGCAAGGGGCGGCATGGCTTTTATAGATAGTAGCCCGGCTCCAGAGGAGAGAGCTCTAACGTTTGCAACTGGATGAGGGCGTTAAAATGTTGCAAATTATATATACACCAGAGAGTCCCTCTCTGTCTCGCTTCTGTCTAGCAGCCACAACCAATCCAGCCTTCTCTATAAGCGCTGACTTGCCGCCACCGTGCATACGGTCCGGAACATTGCTTCGCTGGATTGAATCTCTTGGTTGACGACGATTCCTGAAAATTCATGTCTTTTCACCGATCACTACTTTGGAGCATCTTTCTATAAATATATTGGCACCTTCATGCTCGCTCTCCTCCTTTCATGGTGCGTTGTACAATGACCCGAGGCCTACGGTATTTTCCACTTGCCGTTGCGCCCTTGCTTTATCACTTCTGCTGAACACGGCCTCCTTTACTGGCGTTACTCTGCCAATACCCATGATGTCCCAGAATCCACAGAGAAAAATCGAGTTGCTCCAGGCGGAAGCCGATGAAAACGATCAAAGTTTCTTCCGATTACTGGTCGATGGACGCGCCATCAAATACATCACCATTGAACCTGGAATCTACAGCGTCGAAGATATGTGCTTCGGTCCCTCCCTGGTTTCCCTTCTTCCCGACTTTCCTCCTGGCGATTGGAACGATGGACTTGTCGCTCGAGAAGGGGAAAATGGTCAACCGCGCTTTACACGCACTACTCGGACGGCGTTTGCCAGCGTCAGGAATACGTGGCATCCTACGTTCGTCGACTACCTGGAGATGGTCGTGGGTAGGAAATTACGAACAGGCGTCTATGAGGTTAGCTGCCCATTATTCAACAAGACTGTCGTTGCCAAATTCGCCCGATTCGATTGGGAGGTGCAGTACATGGAAAACGAAACTACGGCTTACCAATGGATTGACGGTTACGATATCGGACCCCGGTTTCTTGGCCACTTGACTGAAGAGGGCCGGGTGATAGGGTTCTTAATGGAGCGTGTCCCAGCTGAACGGCACGCTGGCCCTGAGGACCTTAAGGCCTGCCAGGAAACTTTGTCTCGGCTGCATGGTTTGGGAATCCGGCACGGTGATATAAATCGATTCAACTTCCTGATTTGCCAATCGAAGGCAATTCTGATTGATTTCGACACGGCCCAGAAGTGCGACAACCGGGATTCCTTGTCAGAAGAGTGGGAAGATTTACCTCGGCGGCTAAACGATCCGTCTAACAGGGGTGGTGGAGGGATTCTCTAGTGACCGTCCCCGTGGGCAGTAGGGAACTAGGTGTAAGAATCCAGGAGCACCTCCGCTTAACCGATAGATAAAATCTACTTCATAAGTAATTGCTTTTTTTACCTAAGTTGTTTTATACCTATTTGCGATTGTCTTGGCTTCAAAGCCATGCCCATCTAGGTGTCGTTAAAGGGTTAGACAGGGGAACTATGACAACGGCAGTCTTCTGGCTGTGGTGTGTCATTTTCAAGGCCTTTCCCCAGAGAGATATCCTGCGAGGCGACTGTCAGCCATGGCAAAGTCACGAAACGGTCAACTTACCCCCAGCATGCGGATCATGTTATCAGCTTTTCTTGTAGCTTGGACACCTCCGCATCGACGTGTCCTAAGAGACTCTGCACAAGGGCCTGTAAGTCCTCGTCGATGTTCTGCTTGGCCTTGATCATATCATCAGCATCTGCTTCCAGTCATCCACATTTGCGACATCCCGCCAGAATCGCAAAAAGGCGGCTTGGGAATAGTGGCAAGTAACCAGCATCTGGCTTTTCATAATTTGCGCATAGAGGCCGACAGACTTGGTTCTTAGGCGAGTGTGAATGTCGTCGTTCCTGTGAAAACTGAGATTAGTTGTGCATTGAACCATCTAGCCGTCAGGCCGCTAATCCAGGTATCCCCGGCTCTGCCAGCATGCTGTCTGCGCAATATGACCCCTCTATACCTTTTGACATTCTCTAATAACGGAAGATTGAGTGTCTCTTCGATGACCCGACATCGAACCATGAGATCCGACACATAAGCAATCAGCTCCGTGGCATTGTCCGTCTGAGTGAGGGGGTTTGTCAGCAACTAGAACCCAACATTAGCCTCTCACCATCATCGGTTCGGTCTACTATGGGAAATGGAAAAATCACAGGAAGCATGAAGACAATGCCAGCCCATGCAATCGCGGCGTGGGGCTCCGAATTGAGAACGGTGCCTATAAAATCTTTTGCAGCGACAATTGTGCGAACGATCCGGTGGATCTGGTCTCTGATGACGATCTCCTTGCCCTTAACGATGACCTTTAGATGCCCTTGTTGGACTGTATTCAGCTTGCGTTGTGCTAACTCCCAGATCTCCTCTTATCTTACACGTGAACTCATGGACAGCTCTGCCGCTGGTTCATCTGCATTGAGATTGAGAATGCGGAGTGAAAATGCGGAGATAAGACACATACCCAATTCTCCCGATCCCTGTTGGCTTGACTCCTGACTCTGAGAGATCAGGATATATCTCTCGTAAGCAGCCAAAAGGTCAGCATCGTCCTTCTCTATCAATTTATATGCTTCGTCCCAAAGCCCCGTGAGGCGGCACTGCTGACTAAATCTTGCCCTTTTGCGGCGGTAACTTTCTCTGGATCTGGATCTGGGTCTGGCACATCAAATCATAAACCCTATAGTCCCTATCTTAACTTCTGTAGTATCTGCTGCTATCCTTATGCTTAGCTTCAGAACTGCCTATGTCGCAATATTTTAGCTGCCCTCGCATATTCCCACTTCTAGTATATTTAAACCTAGTAATTATATAAGGCTAAAAGGCTAGCGGGAGTTTAAATAGAGAATGTTCGGTTTATGCTCTTAAATTATGCCTATTACTACTGCACCGGATGATCGCCAGTACTTGCCAAGTCACTACCAGGAAGCTTTAGGTCCCTCTCGTAATAATTCAATAGCAATGGCAATCTATCATGGTATCATACAAGTCGTAACATCATCCAAAATACAATGATACTATACAGTCGTCGCTTTACCCTCCGTTTCCTGGATTGCCGGAACGCTCTCCGTCTCGCGTCCATAGTTCGATTTCGGGCCCTGCTCGTCGTCATGTTTATGGGACATGAACAGAATGGCAGTACTGTCCTCCATCAGCAATCTTCTTTTACAGCGTAATCCAAAGGAATGACATACCTCGCAACAGTCGCAACCCAACCAGGCCACGCAAAGACAACTGATGTAATAGCTTTGGGGTTTGTCCGGTATTCTCCATGATGTTAGCCAGCGTCATGAAATCGGCAGCAAGCGGATACATACGCAGAGCAGGCTTCTTGGTCGGTTCTTCCCAGTATTTCCTGGCGGATGCGGCGTCGGTCCCGGTGATACGGGCGCTATGTGTGGCAGTGATGATCTAGTCCCATGAGCAGACTGCGCAGTAATATCCAGAATACGAAAAGTCATACAGTCATGGTCAGAGCCGAACCAAGCATCATCACCGACACCACCACCCCGGATATCTTCCACGCCAACCGAACAGATTTACTCTCGTGTCTTTCCGGCCAGAACAGGTCGAAGAAAAACGCGGCGCCGAAGATGGTTGCAACAGAGACCCCGACGAAGATGTTATACGAGGCAGCGCCAATGAAGTCGTTGTTGTGCACTTTGGCTTCGGGGTGCCGTTTCTGGATGGCATCTTGTTGGTCGAGATAATCTAGACACAACCAGCATTAGACTGGATATCCCGGTAGACAATGGGGTAAAGTACCTGATAAAGCGGCCGTTCCAACCGACTCAGAAATGACGCAGAATATCATGGCCATCTGGTAGATAATCATCTTTGTGCGACGCAGGTGGTACGCGCGGTTGAACATTTTTGCTCCCTTGAATTTGTTCCATTGTATTTCGTGGAGGTCGAGACCCCATATGATGGCCATTGAATTGGTGAAATTGTCAGGACAGTATATATCTCAAACAAAAATGAATGCTATTGCTGCTCAGGATCGAGGCGAGTTAATAGATACAGATCAAGTAGACAGGAAGACAAGGGGTGGAAGGTCGACAGTTTTGTCAGCTCAAATCTCCAGAGAGAATGACTGACTACTATAAGTCGAGCCATTCCAATTAATAATGTTACACAAAGCCTGAAACTTGTTTCTTTTTGGCAATACCTGATGGCCCTGACACTGACGATGCTGATGATGGTTGGTGCTTGGGATAGAGGGTGTGACGTCAACAAACAAACAAGCCGAAAACGTCATCAGTGCAGATCTTCAATGACCTGCCCAGTATGCTCACGATTACAATTGTACAAACAACACCATTATCTTTTTACCTTGTATATTCTAATAACAAGTAGGTTCTTATATCCACTAGCTAAATCGTTGTCCAAGTAAAAGAAGGTGCTGAACACATCATTACCCTACTATCTCCACTGCGCTAGGAATGATCGTCGAGACATCTTTTCAGCTGGGAGTTTTATGGTTGACAGGAAGCTAAACCAGGACCAAAACCAAGATCGCTCCCTGTCATGCTTATCAATCATATAAAGGCTTATGGGGCTGTCCAAGAACACTTCCTCTGGCCGAGAACATCTTGGCTCTACGTGGAGACGAGCATCACATTAGAAACAGCAGAACTACAGAAATACAAGCTGATACTATACTCTATGAATATGAAAATATCTGGAATTACATATTTAATAATATACTGGTGAACGATGTATACTCTACACTAAATATTATGGCGCTGCGAGCATTGATGTTGATATTATAGTAAAACCATTGCCACTGTTCTTGTTCATGATTCTTCATTCAGCTATGGTATTCATCAATTGAGAGTACATATCTGCATGACAAGCCTTGCGACAGAAAGGATCTTTGACTAAGGTGCATTCTCTCTCTCTCCCATTATCCTTACGATTAGTTGTTCTGGATGTCTTCGTTGGCAACCATGATTGTTTCCGAATGCATACCGCGCATTTCTTGCGAGACGGCGTGTTTATACGTCGCTTGCTCCAAAAAGACAGACGATATGAATGCAGCTAAGGCTCCTTGACGAGCAAGGTGAGTATATTGCGCCGTGATGGATGGAGGCGAGAAAGACCAGAATGCGGATGAAGAGCTGGCGGATGCTGAGAAGCAAGTTCTTGCGGTAGTACGCCAGTTGAGGGATTTTGCACGAAAGGAAGCAATAGACAACTTATTCGCGGCTAAACTAGTACATGAATGCTTGAATATATGAGCAAGACAGGCTAGTCCAAAAACCACTTGGCACCTCCGGGCCCCAAACAGCCAACGATTCATCGCCCGCAGGTCCATACCCAATGGGCGTCTCCTCATTCACAAAGTCCCCATCCGCATAATGCTCAATCATGTTCCCGGTGGTATCCCACCAGTAATCGAATAGCTGCGAGCCGAGAATGTGTCGTCCCACGCCCCAAACAGGCTCATACCCCTTCTTCGCCAGCCACTGGTGTCCCAGATTCTGCGTGTCAAAGTCATGCACTTCAAACGAGCAATGGTGTACGTGCGAGGTAGGATTCGTGCTGATGAAAAAATCGTGGTGGTCGACATAGTCCGCGCCGCGATCGATGTGCGCGAAGAGAGCAACATTCGTCTTCTTCCCTTCTTTTTCAACGTAGAGGAAGTCGCTCGGCACAAGGTTGAAGGTTGTCGTGTAAAAGGTAACCATTTCCTGGAAGTTTTGGACGCACAGGCCGAAGTGACCCAGCTGGATCTGTCAGTTACTGTATAAGGATGACCTGGGGAGACGTACCTTGTGGACGGCTGCAGGGCCGGGAACGAAGCGCTGGAAGTGACGGATGCGAGGCTTGTCTGACTCGTAGTTGACGACGAGTTTGGAAGGATATTCGCCCGGTGCTGCTGGTGGCTGACCGTAGACGAGATTGATTGGAAATCCTTCTGGGTCTTTAACGGTGACCATGAAGCCTCCCCCGGGTGCGTCTTTCAATTCTTCAATAGCGCTGCCTGTGGGCATATTGGCCGCCCTGAATACATTATCAGCAGCCTGAAGTCTCGTATAGGGTTTGTAAATACCTTTCCAGATTTCGGTACGATTCCACTTCAAACGTCCCTCCGAGAAAGGCCTTTGGCCCTTTGCGAGCATAGTATACATACTGATCCGTCCCGTAGCCTCGATACCACACTTCCTCATCTGTCTTTTTGACAACTTTCATACCAAAATCTATTCCCATCAGTCAGGCCTTCCTGATAAATGGGACATCGACTAACCTTGGAGGAAGACAGTAATCGCATCAAGATCAGGATGTTGATAGCGCATATGCGCCAACTTCACCAGTTTGATCTGATTCTCTGTCTTAATACCACATCGTTCCTTCCACTTCGATAAAGATTCTTGTTCTTCACCGATAGCGACCACGTCTGGGACTGAAGCGCCGTGACATGGCTGGATCTCTGTTTGCGATGTTTCGGACTGTCGAACTGTCAGTACCCAGACTCCGTGGCTGGCCCCAAGTCCTAACCTACCATATTCATCTCGCCATGCATGCCAATATCTAAGATCAAATTTTGTCAACGAGCGAGAAATGATACCATGTAAACATATCTTTGTCTCGGCTATCGGCCTTAGCTGAATACGGGGGAGAACCTTCCCCGCATCTTTGATAGAGATGCTGACTGGTGCCACCATCACTGTCCCACACACTAGGCGGAGATCATCCCACATTGATCTGCACGGACAGTGGAAGCAACCTACGGAATAGATAGGTCATATAGGTGACAATCATCGGTAGCTAGCGAGTTCAGAGGATCTGTGGTTGCGTGGGGCCATAAGTGATTGTGGGTTCGACTGGCGATCCATCCACATCGGTGTTGTTGTATTCCCTGCTGTGTTGACCCTGAAGCTGCCATCTCTCTGTGCTTTCACTGGGTTCATAGCTGATAATATGTTGTTTCAATGGCAGTATTTGCGCGTCAAACTTAGATACAATGAACCTACCTAGAGAACAACATCGTATTTTTGAGAGGTGGTGTGTGCGTCGGTCTTTACAAACGAGTGGTGTGCTCCGATTAAACTTAGGAGTAGCTAGTTACACCTCTCTTTTCGACCTCTCGATATCAATAAGGCAAAGCTAGATGACAATGAACTTCAATAGATGACTGGATACATGCTGGAGTCATCAGAAAAGAATAGACAGGCCGAAAAATAGGATAAAGAAACGTGTACAAATCGATCAAATTCCTTGGAATAGGGATAGCGAGCAGGCGAAAGGTTTCAACTCTGCAGGCTGCGTGGGTTGGGGTATGAAAGGTTCGGGTCATTATGATCCTCAAACAGAGGAAGAGAATCCTTCCCATGGCCCTCATGCATGTCCGCAAGCATTTCAGCAATCCCTTTATCCAGGCGTTCTTTTCTGCAAATCGTAGGTGCCCTCTTCGATAGGCGAAGGACGTAGACAGGGATCGGAGTCTTGCATTTATGAGCAGTCTCATAGTTATAGTCGGTATTGTTGAGATCCACCACGAAATAGGAGTGTTTCTCGGGATATATGTTGACAGCGACGAAGCGAGTCGTGTAGTCCGCGCAATATCGACGGACACAATGCTGGACTTTTGACGCGAACGGGTGTATGGATTCGAAGTAGTCTTTGGGATTGAGAATGCTATTTGGGGCATCACCAACTATTCGAACTGCACCGTTTGAATCAAGCTGTCGAAGGAATTCATGCATGATACTTGGGATTTGAGTCAAGATATGTCCGCGAATTTCGCGAACCTGTTGCTCTGAGTCCCCCATTAGGAGGATAAATTTGTGGAGCAGTTTGCGGCTCTTGCAAAGGAAGATTCTGATGTTTGTTAATCCGGCCTTTCTGAAGCTTTCTGAGGCCCGTCACAGGGAGCTGCGTGAAGCTTCTCTCAATCAAGGGCTATCACCACCCTAGATGCTTTGAATCCTAAATAGGAGATAGCGCCGCGTATATTTAGCTGGAGAGCGAGCTACGGCCGAGTTCTCAATTGTGCTTTGACCATGAGCTTTCACACAGTAATTATCATTCTCCTGTTTCTCCCAGTCAGCCTGCGTGTGGCCGGATGCAGTATTTGGTTAGGTCTTAGAATTACCTGGCGTTGGGGACAAACTGCGGGCCAACTCACATGGGTCGATCACCTGGGGGGGTGTGTTGTATTCCCTGCTGTGTTGACCCTACTGCTATCATCCCTACTAGCTAGAGATGTGTCTGGACGCCTTTTTGGCTGAGTGGTTGGATGTATGACAGGTGTCAACATTCCCCGATTGCTCAATGTGAGTAAAAAAAGATGCGCTACGGTCCAATATCATAATAAAATTACAAAAGTTCTGTCGGCAGTTGATCCTTCTTATACCGTCCGATGCTACACCAACCGAGGTACTCTAATCACCAAGGTGGCCCAACAAGCTATCAGAACGAGTGCAGTCGCCGTCATATACGGAAGACCAAGCCATACCCCGTGCAACGTCATACTGAACTTGAACGTGCCTGCCATCATCGGCCCCGCGATGATCGCACCAAGACCCTCCGTCAGGGCAATTGTCGTCCCCAAGAGGCCTATCTCGGCCTCGTCCACCAATGCCGTAGCAACGCTGCGTAGAGCGGGGAAGAAACCCGCTCCCAGCGAGGAGATCGATAGACCTGCAGCGAAGACTGTAGGGCTGGCGGCTAGTGCCATGAGGACATGCCCCGCCGCGATTGTGAGGACGCTGCCGAGGGAGATGCGCAGGTCTCGGCGTATAGGGGGGAGGAATCTGTCTAGGGCTTTGGAGAGGGCAGGGAGGATGAGGAGTAGGGCGGTAAGATTCATGATTCCTTTCAAGGAGACGAGGAAGCTTGCCTGTTTCACGTCAGAGGGGACGAAAAAGTGATGGAGAATGGGACTGTACCTTTGCCATGGACCATGAGAAGCGTTTTGAGACGTATTGTAGCGTGATCAGGAGCGACTGGATAGCCACATTGGCCATCAGAAGGGCGATGGAGATACAAACAATGTTGCGTTGGGCGAAGATGAACCGGCTGTGATGCATGATTTGGTGCCTGGCGTGAGTCCAGACAACTTTAAGACGTTGACGGACCGTCCGTGGAGCGTCATCGTCCGCCTCGTCGTCTTCGCTGCCCGTCTCGCTCAGTTTGCTCAACTTGGGCAGCGTTTCCGGCACACATAGAGAAGCACACAGACCGCATAGGAAAAAAAGCACTCCCAGGAAGTACGGAAGCCAGGCCGTCCAGGACATGAGCCAGGCACTCAGAGGGCTTGCGACAATCTCGGATACCTGTGCTGACCCATAAATGATAAAGAAGATATTCGCCCTGCAGCCGTTACCATCTAGTATATCCGCGTCCGATTGATTGACATACCGTTTCTCCACCGGAAACACATCAGCGATCATCGTGAAAATCATAGACCTGGCAATCTGGGTGCCACCACCGCAGATCTGGAATAACGACATGAACCACACTGTGCGCAGGGGAATAAACGTGCTGTACCATGCTGTACGCTATCAGCAGGGAAACAAACTATGATCAGATCACTTACCAATTATCCGCACCATCACCTCTTCCATAATCAAGCCAAGCAAACTCAACCTCAGCACCACCTTCCGTCCCGCTTGATCGGCCATCAGACCAAAGGGAAGCGCCAGAAAAATCCCCGGCAGCGTATCGAGCGTCTCCTTCCAGCCATTGACAAGCGCAAGCTCACCCTGCATATCGGGGGCCTTGCATCTGGCATCAATCTGCTCCTGCGTGGTAAGAAGTGCGATTTCCGGGTGCAGTTTCCGGCAGATGATTGACTCGAATATTTGGATCTGCGGAGCCATAGCCAGATAAGAGCCAAAGTTTATTGCGATGATGCCCAAGCTTAGGACGATGAGGATCCATCGTGCGTGGGTGGAGCGGCGGGACTCTGATGGGTGGTCGTGGCCTAGCAAGGGGGTTTCCTCGCATTCATCGTGCCTAATCTCACACAACATTTTGTTGATGATATGGTTGAGATCATGGAGAAAGAAGAGTCAGGAATGATGATGGTCGTGTTTATTAATAGGGAGAAAGTCGACGCCTGGATTCCTGGATGTCATCCTTGCCTGTACAGGTACCTTTGACGCCGGAGAGGCAGCTACCAATGCTCATTGGTTGAAGCTGCTGTCAGCTGGAGTGTGGACGACTCCGATTGGCCAATTCGGTCGGAGTAAACAAATCAATTCCGCATCGGAGTTCGGAATTCGACCCTGTAAAACCAGGCATCAAGATTCATCAGAAAAAGCAGTCAGCAATGATATCCTGATTGCATCATGATGCTGATGCATTCTGGCTATCTTGGTGGCTGGGATACCATTGCCAGCACAGAACAGAGACAATCTGACATGACTATTCTGCTGCGCAAGAGTACCCTTGACTAAAATGCAAAATGACGTGCTTAAGCCTCGACATCTGAGACACCAGAAGGCAAAACAGGCATAACATAACTTGTTCGAACAGAGTGAGCTTGCCTAAATCGTCCCCAGGGTTCTCGCAAGCATCCTTGGCATCACACTGTTCAGCGGACTGGGCACTTGGCATTTCTGTTTGCAGCTATAGGAATTAATCTAGCATGTTCAGTTTACTCCAGGCGGAGTCCAGGAACTGCACAGGGTTCTCAGTGTTAAGATTTTTGGACACCCAATCATCGCTTCCATCTCCCCATAGTTTGTCCGCAGTTGAGAAGCCCCGGTGCAGGCGCAGGCTATGGTACTACGCAGGTAACCAAGTGAGAACCTTGAAGACACCAAGGTCTCCCACTCTGCTTGGCAATGCCGTATTTCCTCTGGCCAAGAGACCGTTAATCAAAGACGATCTTGGGGAAGCACTAGAAGAGGGATCGAGGATGGACCCAGCAAGCACATATAAGCCCCCGAACCCTTCTTTTCCTTCCAGGAACAATTCTCCCATTCCCTCCGTTGCTTCAGAATCCGTCGTGCCCGTTAAGCATAATGAAGCACCTCATCTTTACTCTCCTCGCCTTGGCCTCCACCTCGGCTTTGGCTCAAGATCCCGGTCCATCGCCTACAGCCTCTGTTGGCTGCGAGCCACATGGCGACCACTGGTATGATACGAATGCAGACAATCAATCCAGTAAAGCTCACAGCATACAGGCACTGTGATGGTCCAGCAACTGGAGCCGCTACTACTACTACCAGCGAGCTACCCCTCGCTCCAAGTCCCACTGGGTCTGTGGGATGCAAAACCCACGGAGACCACCTGCACTGCGACGGGCCCGCCTCCACCGCGGCCATGACAACGGCGACTTTCGACGACCACGATCACGGTCACGGTCACGATCACGATCATGATGACGAGGACGGCACCGCGACCCCGACGGTTCCTAGTCCCACAGCGTCGGTTGGATGCAAACCGCACGGCGACCATTGGCACTGCGATGGGCCCCGGGAGACGGGTAGTGCTTCTGCCAGCACGAGCGAGGCGTCCGCTTCCACTTTGGTCTCGACTACTTCATCTGCCACAGCATCTGCCACTAGGGCGCAGCAGTCTGGTAGGGCTGGTTCTTTGAGCATGGAATTGACTGTGGCGGTTGGGTTGGCTGTCGCCGCTGCGGCATTTCATGTTTGATTGATTATGACATGGTGTGCTATTCATTTATTGGTGGCCATGATAATGGGCCGTCGCGGTTGTGCACATGTTCAAGACGTTGGGAAAAAGTCAAGCCTAGGACGAACCTGCTCATTATCCTGGTGTTTCATACCATATGCAGAACCTGGCTGTATAATAAAATAGGAACTCTGACAGTGTGTTGTTGAATAAACAAATATTGCATGAGAAGATAAGCGAATGACAGGACGGAGCGAAGATACATTGACTTAGCTGGAAAATCAGATGTCGGCACGCCATTTACAATTGAATCTAACCGCAATAATGCTGTATTTCAAACACCGTGTCGGGATTCGCTCTGACGCTGTTTGAATCTTGCGGTGGCGATCCACCAACTGCGGGCCGATGTCGTACGAGCCCATAATAGGCACCAAGATATTAGCTGAGTATTCCGTTCTAAAATAATCGATCAGTGATTAAGCTAAGGAGAGATCATGATCGCCTGCCCCTGCATGGCTACTATCCTAGGATGCACCTTCCTCCCGAGTGGCCTGTTGCTGGTCAGCCATTCGGATCATGCCATCCCGGGTAACTTGACCGATCCGCGCGGTCTATATAGAGCATCAACAATACCAATTGGCTTCCGACAGACTCTCCTTCTACTGAGCCGGTACTGAGGTATTCGCCATGGACTTGCTCAATTTCACCTATCCACAACCAACCATGGCGACATATTCTGATCTTCTCGACCTCGCCGCTCAGCAACAGCCTCATCTCTCCAGTCTCGAGCGACTCTGGTGGGCGCACTATGCCTTCTGGGACAATAACGTCCTCGCAACTGGTAAGCCAATCGACGACGATCGACCAGTCCCGGCCCAATCCTAACAGATATAGGAATCATCACCTTCCTCGCCCACGAAATCATCTACTTCAGCCGCTGTCTCCCCTGGATCATCGCCGATGCCCTCCCCAGCATCTTCCTCAAATACAAGATCCAAGACCAGAAACCTCCTCCATCTGCAGCAGAGCAATGGGCCTGCACAAAGTACATCCTCCTCATCCACTTCGTCGTCGAGCTCCCCCTCATCGTCCTCTTCCACCCAATGATGGAACTCTGCGGCCTGAGCTTCACCACCCCCTTCCCTGACCTCCGCACCCTCGCCGCACAAATAATCACTTTCTTCCTCCTTGAAGACACATACCACTACTGGCTGCATCGCGCCATGCACTGGGGCCCGCTCTACCGCTCCATCCACCGCATCCACCACCAATACGCCGCGCCCTTCGGGCTGACAGCCGAGTACGCCAGTCCCTGGGAGACCCTCCTGCTGGGCTTGGGCACCATCGGTCCCCCATTGCTCCTGGGACTGATGAATTGCAACGTGCATCTCGTGACGGTGCTGGCATGGGTCGCGCTGCGGCAGTTCCAGGCCATCGATGCGCATTCCGGCTACGATTTCCCTTGGAGTCTGAGGCGGATTGTGCCGTTCTGGGGCGGAGCGGATTGGCACGACGATCACCATCGGTATTTTTGGGGGAATTATTCAAGTTCGTTTAGGCATTGGGATGGTGAGTGTCTTCTGTTGTGGTTCGAGATATCTGCTGACGGCGTCTAGTGTTGATGGGTACGGTGGCTGGTCCGGAAGCGAGGGAGAAGAGACGCGCGGGGCGAGAGAAGCGGCAGGGTTGATTGTTCAGGATTGGCGCGAAAGTATCATTATCTTCGATTGTATCGATAGTCTTACTGTAATGTAATAGCTTGGTTGGCTTCGGAACTGCTCTGCTTCCAACATGCAAATAATGCCATCACTTAATGACTTCATGTGCCATGAGGAAACCTTCCACGACGAGCAGATAGTGGGTGGAAGTTGTGACGGTAATGAACTGGTTTAGCTTAATTTGTTTGAGAGTTGCACCTGGCTGACTGTCATCCCATGCTACTTGGAGTTGGACTATCATTGACATTGAATAAAGCGTTATTTGCTTTTGGCATATTTGATTTGGTATTGAACGGGACATTGCTATGAGATAGAACAACAATGGACATATCTCCCCTATAGAGTACTACTTCACGAAACCCTCTATTCTAAGAGTGGGTGTCAATCATATAGCCCTGTCACTCTTCTAGGACTTAAGTCTATCTTTCCTATCGCAGACTTTCCAGCCTCTAAAGACGCTCAGGGTGCTATGCACAGTCTCCAGAGGAGCTAAAGTCGGCTTCTATATGACGGTAGCTCACAAAAAGGTTGACTAAGATCAAGAGATATGGCAATCTTCAGTGCTCTCAAATTCATCACATACCATTCGAACATACTCTGGGTCTCTCCTTATCTTGCACGCATTCTGAATTGTGATTACATATCCCTAGGCTGAGGACTTGGTGTCCTTATCTATCCAATGACAAGCGGGAGTTCCCGGCCGACAGACGAGGCCTTGTGAAGCCACTGGGTCCTCTTCGATCAATCCTTGGCTAGCGCACGTTCAAACTGCGGGTTAACTGTGAAAAGCTGGAGAAAGCTTTAGAACCATGAGGGTCATTGATACCCCTACTTCTAAGCATCATCGATATCTGAAAAGGGCCTTGAAGTCGGAAGTATCATTATTTAGTCCCTTGTATTGAGGTGGGAACAAGATCGGGTAATGGTCACTTTCTAAGGATGCAAAATACTGTAAATATCAATAGTCTAGATCAGTGATCAACAGCACGGCTTCTCTGGTTTAATGCAAACCTGCGTCATCGTCAACAACTCAGAAACTATTCCATGGTTAGAAATAATAGACAACCCCTGACCGGCCATGGAGTCGGCTCAACCTGAGTGGAAAGTTTCCGTGCGAGTTCACATAATCTGTCCCGAGTGTGGAGATAAAATTCTAAAATGACAAACGCATAAGCGACCTGCATATGTAGCCCTGTGCCTTAATTTGTGCTGCCAATCAGAATCGAGGAAGCGAACCGGAAATACGGTAGAGAAGCCACTATGCTGAGCGACCCACCCATGGAATCATGCCGAACTTCCATCGTTTCCACCCTTGTCTGAAGAATTGAGTTATCCCCGAGTAAGCAAGTTAGCAACAGCTTAACAAGCAGTAAGCTTATAGGCCATAAGGAAGCTTATCAATGCGACAACTTGCAAGACGTCATATGTGCCACTACCCAAAGGCATACAGCACGCTTTGAGAGATCGAAAAAGATAGAGGACCGGCTCGATCACTGTGGCGGTTTGCCGGACATAATGGAGATTAAGGTGGGCACTTACCACAGTCAAGGCGAGTGGGTACAGCAATTTCTTGCCCGATTTCTAAGCACCGACGATTTCCCATCTTGCCTCGGTGCTGTTGGTGTATATAAGACGCCGTGAGGACCCGCGGAGAATCAGATGTACCACTCACAAACTTAAACTAAATCGAAACGAAAAGTTACAATGGCTGCTACCGACTACAAGTTCGAGGGCTGGCTTGGCCTTGACAAGAAGGCCGTCCAGGGCAACATGGTGTGGAAGGAGTTCACGCCCAAGGCGTGGGAGGAGACCGATATCGACATCAAGATCACACACTCCGGCATCTGCGGCTCTGATCTGCACACCCTGAGAAGCGGATGGGTATGTTTTTTTTCAAAATGCATTGTAAACTGTGAGACTAACCTGTCTCCAGGGCCCTACTATGTACCCCTGCTGTGTCGGCCATGAAATCGTCGGTATCGCCGTCCGTGTCGGTTCCAAGGCCGAGGGAGACATCAAGGTCGGTGACCGTGTTGGTGTTGGAGCCCAGAACGACTCTTGTCTGGGCCGCAAGGGCGACTGCGAGGAATGTGCCTCCGGTATGGAGCAGTACTGTAGTCATGGAATGGTCGGCACATACAACGGCGTCCACTTGAATGGTGATAAGTCGTACGGTGGATACGCTCTGTACCACCGTGCTCCCTCTCACTTTGTCTTCAAGATCCCTGATGCCATCCCCTCTGCGGAGGCCGCCCCCATGATGTGCGGTGGTATCACCCTCTACTCTCCTCTGAAGCACTACGGCTGCGGTCCCGGCAAGAAGGTCGGCGTTGTAGGAATCGGTGGATTGGGACACTTTGGTATCCTGTTCGCCAAGGCCATGGGCGCTGACAAGGTTGTCGCCATCTCCCGCAAGGCAAACAAGAAGGAGGATGCTCTCAAGCTGGGTGCTGATGAGTACATTGCAACCGATGAGTCTGGTTGGTCTCAGCGCCACAACCGTTCCCTCGACCTGATTGTTTCTACTGTCTCTTCCTCCAAGGTATGTATCATCACTCCTTATGCCTGGTTAGTGAGGCTATGTCTGACATCACTAGATGCCCATTGTGCAATACTGCTCTCTTCTCCGCACCGACGGTGCCTTCGTCCAGATGGGTGCTCCCGAGGACGGTGCTCTGGAGATCCCTGCGTACGCTCTGATCGGCCGCAGAGTCAAGATGGGCGGCTCCCTGATCGGCAGCCCCAGTGAGATCCGGGAGATGCTCCAGCTGGCCGCTGAGAAGGGTGTCCACCCCTGGATCCAGGAGAGACCCATGAAGGACGCCAACCAGGCCGTTGTCGACATGGACGCTGGCAAGGCCCGCTACCGCTACGTCCTTGTTAACGACCAGTAATTAACGAACTCTAATGTATATACCTGTATGAATGTATAGATTAATCCAATGATCATTCTTATTTCATTCTTTCAAGCGCTCGTACAATGTATGGTTGGCCGCTCAGCACCACTTCGCTGCCAACGCTCCACTCCCCGTCTCCGGTGTCAATCGTCGTCATGGAGGGTAATTTGTCGACATCCGGGCCGAGGGTATACTTCGTCTTCCACCCAGACACAGAGTCCCACTCCTCACGTCTAGCGCTGACCTCCCCTCCGTTTTTGACGTCTTCCGGATCTCCGCCATAGTGCGTCTGCTCCTGCCGCAGCACAACATAAGTCCCCCAAATCCTCGCAATGAACATCCGAACCACCGTACTCCCATCCTGACCACTCACCCCCTGCTCACCTCCCCTCGCCTCCAACACCCATGAAACCCCCCTCCCCGGACCCTCGGGTCCCTCTCTGAAGGGCAACTCCCGCCACACCTCCTCATACTCCCTAACCGGCGCACCAGGAAGGTCCCAACGAGGCATCGACCCCGTCTCAAGGTCATCCCCGTTCGGCAGCGCCGTAAACGTCCCGCAATCGACTGCATCAAAGGCATTATGCGAGTCGACGGCGTGTGTGAAAAGCACGCGCACTGTACCTCGAGTTAGCTTTGTTACAGATTGCGCAAGGGGCCGTACGTACGCGGCTCTTGGCTTTCTACGATGCGTTGGCCGGCGATCGCCCAGTCAATTCTGCCAGAGGATTTGTCGATGCGGAGATCCACGTACCAGCCCATTAGGAACAGGACAATGGTGTCGGTGTTTTCGAAGGCGGGGTCGGGGAGCCAGCGGAGGGAGACTCGGGTTGAGAGGCTGCTGGTGCTTTGGCTGGTGGTCATTTTCGGATTGAAGGTGTGGGTGATTTCTTGCTGTAATTGAGAAGGGGTTGGTTCAGTTGCTTATTTAAGAATTGGGCTGTTGTTTGTGAGCAATGTGACATTGTATTGATATGGGGTACCCCGCAAACCAATATCTTATATAACATTGAGACGTGGATTTGGGTTATAAGATCGTTATTGGACAATTTGGATTACAAAGGTCTATTGGCTCAATGGTAGAGCACCTGTCTCCTATGCTGGAAAACAGGAGGTTGTGGGTTCGAGTCCCATGTAGATCGACCTTTTTTTCGCCATCATTTTTGCATTTCTTTTTGCACTTCTCTATTTGGTACGGTTCGTCGTCTCGATTATTATGATTTTTGTTACTTCTTTCCCTGTTCCTGTGTCGGCTTATAGCCCGTCTGCCGTGGCATCCGAATATATATTTCTCTGGGTGTCGACCAGCATAAGTTATAGTATACATCCACCAGAGCATTCCACAAAAGAAATTTAGCTATCAAAGACGGAGAGAACAATACTATTCTCCTTTATTGTTGCAGAAGTCCGTCGAACTCGGCGGTAGTAACAGTCGAGACTACTGTCACTTAGTATCTACATAAAAATATATCATACATTATGAAGGTTATGAAGTGGAGACCAGTGTTAATCAAAGCATGCAATGCAACAGTTATTATTTGAGCTATCCTGCTTCTTACGACGAATATGATACTCGCACCTCGGACAGAGCATACAACGCAAATTCTTATGAATTGTTCGTCCCAATCATCCACTATGCAACTCAAGAATAAAGCTCATCATCAGGAGCAGAATCCATGCCAACCAACATGGAGCCTGGCCTCCAGCACGCGGTACTGGCTCACCGAAGCAAAAATCGTTGACTTGTGCCTCGACCTCAGCGCCATCTTCACAGTATAAATCACTGGAGACGGAAGGTCGAGTTAAAGAACTGAGCAGCCTTTCCCGACGAGAGCCCCAACTCGACAACACAGGCAAGGATAGTCCACAGCCCAAGCGCAAAGTTCTCCTTGTGAAGCGGGCCACCACTCTCCGGCTTCTTCGCATCGAATCTCAGCAGCTGATGCAGAAACGACAAAGCCCAGACGCACATCCACGAGGCCCACAGCCAACCGGAATTCTGCGCCCGCAGCTGCAGATAGACCGAGCCGAGCACGAGACCCGCCAGGACGATCAGGAACAAGTGGATGCGGGACCCGGCGGCGACGTACACCGAGTTCACGTCCATCTTTGAGTCGTCGACGATGTCTTGGTAGCTGTATGCTGTGTTGAGGTACAGGGTCCAGACGAAGACGGTGATTGCCAGCGGGAGGGACTTGGTGATGCTTTGCGTGACTGGGATCTCGCGGCCTTTGATTGCCATCCAACCGATTGCGCTGGGCCAGGCTAGTGTAAAGCCGAGGAAGTACTGCGGATAGATGTATAGTCGTCGGAAGAATTGACGCTTTCCGTAGGGATAGAGGATTGTGGCGATGGTGACTGGGATCATAGCAGCCGCGCTGTTTGGATCAGTTATCCACATTCTTGAGACTTGTGAGAGGTCCTCATACACGTCGTGGCCTTCCAGCATAATATCCATCAGCCACCACGAGACGGCAAACTGGACCAACATCCAGATGAAGCCCTCGGTTGCAGTCACCCTCCCCGCTGCCAGGGGCCGATTCTTGGTGCGCGCTACGTTTTTGTCGACGTTGCGGTCGACCCAGTCATTCCAGACCATGCCTGCACCGCAGTAGATGTAGCCGCAGAGCAAGCACAGCATAGCCTGTTTTAGTATGTGGTTGGCCGAGATCGAGGTCGGATTAGCGGCTATTTTATTAGCACCGGCAAGCAACGTTGCCCAAACTAGATGCCCGAGGTCAATGGATGAATATTGTATACAAGGAAGGGACACACCTCCTGAGAATACAGCAAGCCATGGGTTGTACTTGTGAAATCTGGATAGGATAAGCAGGTCCCTCACGAGGTTCAGGACAGATCGCCGCTGAGGAGATGGGTCAGTTTCCATGACTTTGTACATTTTGAGCATGTCTCTATCCAACAACGAGCAGAGAAGGGCGAAGCAGAAAGCCAATTGACGACTGATATATGGATGAGGATGATGTTCAAGGAGGATAATATACATGGCAATATTACCTCAATATCCCAACCTTACCTTCCTCGGAGCTGACAAACGGGGAAAAGCCCCGGCGGCCGGTGAAAACCACCGACAGCTACATACTATGGCTGATTGATTGAGATGCACGGTATCAAGGGTCAGCCCACGTCACTGCTTCGCTTGCTGCCCGACTCGGCAATTTCTCAAGCAGCCAGGTGACAAGTCTCGGAACTGCCCCATTGAGCATATCAGCAATCCTGCAACTCCATTATCTTAACCGGGGTGTCGCTCAGAACGCCAGCAGGTGTGCTTTAGCTGTCCAATAAGCCGAGAACCTTGATAGGTGTCGACTGCAATAGCTTACCACACCACGCAGCTAATGTGCCTCATTCACAATCAAGACATGGACTCGGTCTCGAAAGATATCTGTCGAAAGTGACCTGATTGGCGCGGTGTTCACGGACTTGCCTTGCATGAATTTGGCCCGGAGCCAGGGTACCCCTTCATGGCTGACAATCAGCTTATGGACCAAGACAAGTCGACAACTATTGGCTCTACGACCTATGATAGTGATTAGTGGCATAATGGTCTGAACTATTGTACTATGGCCTGGAACGAGATGAAGCTTTTGAACATGGCAGCCGCTGGTGACAATCTATGGATCTTGGACCATGGCTGGGAATGCATTGCTCTTGCGGCTGATTGTGCATTGAGAGTACAGGGTAAGGTAGTATTGGATTAAGTTACTGCTGACCGAATGCCGATGGATTCAAGTTAATTCAGCGGACCCCCTCTTGGCAGATATTCGACTTCATTCGTTTTTTTCTATGGATTCGATTGATTCGAGTATGGATACCCACAGTCACCCTTAGTTCAACGGACAGCGTATGTCTTGATTATATGCTTACTCGTTTTTGGATCATCATAAACTGTGAACCCATTGAATGTAGAAATATACACAATACTACGAGCATGATTTTACATTATAAGTCTGTTTCTGGAGAGGAACTGTGACTAAGACCATAGATAAACTCCTGTGTGGGCATATACCGCAGATTATCGACCCTGTAGACAAGGCCTGAATATAGGGGACAGCAGAAAATCAAATCAAATTGTAAATTAGTTATAAAGTAGCAAACATCTTGCTCATTATATGCACGCAGGTGATAACCAGCAGCAGCTACTCCTTTAGCTCCAGAAAGTCCAGTATACCCTTCAACCCATCTGTGTTGCCGAGATCACCAAAGTCCTTCAGCATTTCTCTCGCCTCTGCCGTAAGACTCGCCAGCTTCTTGCGGCAATAATCGAAGCTTCCAGTAGACTCGATAATGCGAACAGCGTACCGCTTGACATCTTCGTCGTCAGTCTTTTGCTTCAGAATATTCATCAGCTGGAAATTACTCGGATCACTGCGAATGCTGTGGATAATGGGATAGGAGAATTTGCCCTCCGTGATGTCTTCACCGAACCCTTTGTTCTTCGCATACAAGTCGCTCTGAAGGTTCTGGTAGTCATCGCGGATTTGGAAGATGATTCCGAGAAGGTCGACGAGCGGCACGCAATCCCTGTGTCTCTATTAATCACCATACATGCAGTGTAAAGAAAGTAGCTCACTTTGTATTCTGGCTTTCCATCTGCATCAGCTTGATCGCAAGCCGGAACAGCCCGCCGGTCTTGTTGGCAACCATTTCAAGGTACTCCTCTTCCGTAGGGCAGATCAAGGCATCTCGCCAGTAGAGATCCATACCCTGGCCACGGTGAAGCCTCAACATCTCTTCTGTAAAGATGATCATAGCCTCAGGCTTGCCTAGCTTTTGTAGCTCCTGTTGAGCCCAGAAGTAGGCGAAATTGGCCGAGTTGATGGTCTGCGCGATACCGAAAATGCTATGCGCGACGGGGAATCCTCGCCTGAGTTTCGACGAGTCTTGGATATCGTCAATCCTGTGATTGTAAGCTTTATATTCGGCTGAGGAACATGTAAAGGACTGCGTACAGTAATGAGGCCGAATGCAGCAGGCCGACCACCCGCTTGATGACGTCGAGTTTGTCCTCTGGGATTTGGAGCCATTGGTTGAAGGCCGAAATCAGCTTGCCTCTGATGTCTTTGCCTGGGAAGCTGCAAAGGTAATTAAGAGGAGCCCAGATTATCTGGTGTGAGAAGCTTGTTAGAGTACAGAACGTTACCAAGGGGCAAGATTTACCGCGTACCTTTTCTTGAGTGAGCTTTCTCTGTTGCTCGAGGTCAGATGCACTGTGAGAGACGCAATCGGAACTAGAGCTTGTTGTTTCTGTTTCGGCCAGAGTGCCAGTTACTGCCTGAGATTGGACTTCTTGAGGCATGAACAAGCTTAAGTGAGTCCATAGCGACTTTGACGGGTCTTGGAAGGGTTGCTGGCGATCGAGCTCGTAGAGGGACATTACTGGCATTGGTACCATATTGCAGCAGATGGGGAGGTAGTTTCAGAAGACTACGAGATACTGGAGAGATATGAATTGGCTTTTTGCAGGGGTGCTTAGAAATGTGAAATATATAGAACTGTACAACCCAGGCACAGCTGAAGCTAATCAGAACAAGAAGATAAGCCGCAATGATTCAAGCTTGATACTAGTTCTGAGTCAACTTCATTTTACCCATATGCAGTGTAGACTTACGAGGCCGGCCGAAGATCAAGAATGCTATGACCATGCCACTGGGCCTGATTTCGGGAAATACCGCTTAACGACGTGGAAAGAAAGGAACAGGATCAGCGATTGTCACTCAGGAGCTGCATCCCTGCTCCGAGGGAGTCAGCTTGGCATATCACTTGTTCCCACATTGTCAACTGAACCAGTTGTCATGGCGTCTACTAGCTGGACTAGACTTTGTATTCCTGACCGGCCACCGACAAGGAACAGCTCAGAATCCTGCATGCACAGAGTCCATTAACATTCCCATCCGATTCCGATTCCTTCCTGGAGCCGACATAAAACCAACTCAACTGGGCCTGACAAATTGGATGCACGATGTAGGAGTACTATGTCCTACCAGGATTATCCACCAAATTGCCGCCCAAGACAATTCTGCGGACACTGCCTCGTCTGACGTATCATCATGTCCCCCCCGAGTTGACAGGGAGCAGGAATTATTATAAAGCGACAATTGTTGGATCCAGATATTCTCCGAATGTACCCTGATCAATCTCAGTCAGAATCCTATTGGCAACATCCCTACTGCCCACCATAATGGACGCATTTGACGTTTCCTCAGCTCCGGCCGAATTCCAGGCCATCAAATCTATCTGCGACATGCTGGTCATCTTCACTGGAGCGACCTGGGTGATCAACTACATCGTCACGGTACGGCAGATCTTCAGGGACAGGGCGTGCGGGATGCCTCTGGTCTGTCTCTGCTGTAATGTCGCCTGGGAGATCACGGTCGTCCTTATCCACCGACCCCCTTACTTCCTCCTCGACGTCTTTTTTGCCATGTGGCTGTCGGTCAATATGGTCATTGTGTACGGCTCGGTCAAGGTCTCTATGGAAAAGCAGCTTCCCTCGCCGCTGATGCACAAGCATCTCCCCCTGATCGTCACCTTGACTATCTTGGGCTTCATATCGGGTTATCATGTGCTCGCGGAAATTCTTGGCCCTATCAAAGCCGTCTGGTGGGGAGGATTGCTTTCCCAATTGGTTATGAGCGCTGACTGTTTGGGTCAACTTTTGCACCGGGGAAGCACGCACGGGGCGTCGTGGGCGATGTGGTAGGTGTCTTTCCTCCTGAATAGAATATGCTGCAAGCTGACAATTGGTCTCTGTCGGATTGCCCAGGATCTCCCGCGTTCTCGGTTCCTATTCGGCAATCGCCGGTGTATTTTTGAAGTCTTGGTTTTGGCCACAGCAGTGGGACTGGTTTGACAATGCACTGACGAGGTGGATTACGGGCATCTCATTGATCATGGATATCATGTATGTCTGTATCTTCTGGTATATTTGGCAGATCGAAAAAGGAGCCAAAATAAAGAGGGTGTGAGTCGACTTGCATGTTTTATGGACGCAGGCTCGGGCACTATTGGCTGGACATGAAGCATATTGCGTTTTCCTGCACAATTAGGAGTATCTTTATACGATTATGATAGTTACCTCAGATATGCCTGCTCTGCATACAAGGAATCCATGTCCGAACGCGCAGAGTGCTTTCCTGACTGTTCTTCCCAACGTATGACTTATTCTTTTTTTTCCCTTTTTTTTCTTTCTGATTACTTCGTTTCAAATTTCAAGTCGACTCCATGACAAATCCAACTGGTTCTGTTCCCAATAGCTTTCCAAGCGCCCTCAGGATGTACATTGGTACTTCGAGGCCTCCAATTGCCTGGAAAGGCGAGTTTGCTGATAACCAAGTATCTTTTCACGGACACTGATCAGTGACCACTACATGCAGAGGACTGCAGATCGTCCATTATCCACCGATTGCTACCAAGTCTCATATTTTATGGGTCTTCTAGGACACTAAGCGTCCCCTTAAGCCGATTGGCCAGAATATCAATATAGAAGAATACAGAAGGCGAGATACATGATTTCTCCTTGTCGACAATCCGGCGGATTGATTAGGGCCACTGTGAACAAATAGGCGTTTCTTATGCAACATAAGGTACGTAGTAGTATTGAATTGCTTCCTATATATGCACATATATATGTGCATAATTCCATAGCTTAGCACGTCCCTATATCCCATGGGAGGTCTCAGGAGGGCAGGCGAAGCCTGCCCTCCGCTAGATGTTAATTAATACAACACCAACACCAACGTAAGGTAGTATTTCCAATTCTGAATCGTATCGAAGAAATCCTCGTCGCCACACACAAGTCAGTATCTGCAAAACAATTGAACACAGGAATTTCCTCATATGGCAAGGATTTCTGTTCACGAATCTCCATATGCTAGCTCCCTACCTCTATTTATCTCCATTTTCTTAGCGGTTCATCATCGCTGAAAAATAGACGTATACTCTCCTCTTCCCCTACTCACCTTGTTTACCTGGACACGAATATTAAAGCTTACTCGAGTACATTGCCTATGATGACGACCAAGTCCCCCTTCAAAGTCATAATCGTGGGCGGATCGATCGCCGGGCTCACCCTCGCCCACTGCCTCAGCAAAGCAGGCATTGACTACATCGTTCTCGAAAAGCGGAAGCAGATTGCGCCGCAGCAGGGCGCGTCTATCGGTATTTTTCCACATGGGGGCCGGATTTTGCAGCAGTTGGGGATATTCTATTTGGTTGAGGAGCAGATTGAACCATTGCACACGGCGCATCAGTGCTTCCCTGATGGCTTTACGCATACCACTAAGGCCCCACGGATTATTCATGAGCGGTATTGCATTATCTACATGTGATTGACCGTATTCACTGCTAATCTGGCTGATAGCTTTGGTCTGCCTCTCGCTTTCCTAGAGCGGAGACGAATGCTCAGAGTGCTTTATGACACACTTCCCGATTCGTCCCGAGTTCTGGTGGACAAGGCTGTCATTTCCGTGGAGCGGGAGGATTCAGACCTAATGAGGGTCACGACCCACGATGGAAATGTATATCATGGCAATCTGGTTGTCGGTGCTGATGGTGTGCACAGTCGAGTGCGCGCCGAAATGTGGCGGCTGGCCAATTCGCAAAGTCCAGCTGCATTCCCTGAGCATGAAATGAGCTGTGAGTACTGTCATATTCAAGAAAGATATCATCGAATAAAGCTGATCCCATTTTAAAAATCTAGCGATGACAGTCGAGTTTGCCTGCGTTTTCGGGATCTCGTCTTCCGTCCCCAAGCTGAAAGCAGGCGAGCAAGTGGCCAGCTTCAACAATGGTAGATCGTACCTCACATTTCCCGGGAAAAACGCTAGAATCTTTTGGTTCCTCCTGCTGAAGCTCGACCGGAAATACTCGTACTCCAATGCTCCGCGTTTCTCCTCCACAGACGCCGAGAAGATATCTGAGCGGTTTGCCGATGACCACATCTGGGACGGAGTGTATTTCCGAGACATATGGAAGAATAGAGAGGTGTTCTCCTTCGTGAACCTTGAGGAAAATGTGTTTCGAAAATGGCATTGGGAACGGATCGTCTGCATTGGTGACAGCATGCACAAAGTAGGTTTCTGTCTTTGGCGATATGAACTCGGAATCTTGATCTGACATGCCTCGAACAGATGGCCCCCAATACAGGCCAAGGGGCCAACTCCGCCATTGAAGACGCCGCTGCCCTTGTGAATTGCCTCCACCGGGCTCTTAGAGCAACGCCTGATGGTTCTACCTTATCATCGGCTGAAATAGATGGTCTCCTGGCAGAATTCAATCGAACCCAATTTCGCCGGGTACGTGGAATCTACAAAGGAGCCAGAATGGTTGTTAGATTGCAGGCAAGGCAGAACCTGTTCCTCAGGTTGCTCGGACGCTACTACCTTCCCTACGCCGGCGATGTCTCAGCGAACGCGGCGTCCAAGATAATCGCTGGAGCTGAGTACCTGGACTTTTTACCGCTTGCTACCCGCTCAGGGGCCGGATGGTATCGATTCAAGCCAGGTCAGAGTGGAACTGCCTTGATACCGTGCTTGTATCCGGTTTTGGCCCTTACGCTGTGTGTCCTTGCTTGGATCGGGAATGATTTTGTCCGAAATAGAGTTGTGTTTGCTTGAGGCCTGTTGTACATGGATAGTACTCTAGAACCTGATACAGTACTATGCAGTCTATTACCTATCTCGCATGAAGGAGTTCAGTCAGCCAATATAGACTCAGGAAACGTTGCCAGCCTTGCCAAATTCCCCTTGCAAAAGCGAGTGATACGTCTTTCAGCGAAAGTACTAGACGGTTTCTCACATTGCAATTATGCCTATTCAATAGGTAGCTAAGCTGGTCTGTGCATGAAGCGTCTTGTTGAAAAGCCATTGCACTGACGATCCTGGAGACGAATGCAGGACACTCGGGCCAATTCCGATGATGGAGATCAATTTGGAAGAGATATGAAAATTCGGCTTACCATCACTCAAGCAATCTCTTCGGAAGATCAACGTCAATCTCTCAGCTGCGCCATAGAGACAACAGGCTGCGTCATTTCGAATCGGGCCGTTGGCTTTTAAAATGGCAAATGGTCTGGACCTGATTATGTTTTCTTTTACCCAGGGTGCTTTCAATTCAGACCAATTCAAGAAAGCCATATCCGGAGGGGGATACTGCGTACCGAGTTGTGTACGTGGACATGCACAGGGACTCCTTTGCTTTTTTGGTGGCTGGGGGAGGGTTTGTCAACCATCTTCGGGCTTCTGCCAAGTCGGGTGATTGTGCTTGTCTGGACTCAGGGAGGGTTCCAGGCACATTATCAATTGGACTGTTGTAATCAGCAGGGATTGTATGTGATTTTATCTTATGGTCTGTGAGTATGTCCAATGCAGTGACAGAGTAAGGAGGAGTGCATTTATCCTGCAAGGGAAATGTAGCCTCGACAAACATTATCACTTTTCCAGCTTTAATGCAGTGGCTACATGGTCTGCAGTAGAGAAAGACAACATCACTTCGGGATATCTGAAGCGCGTCGGGATCTTCGGCAATATTGAACCCCGTATGCTGAGGAACAATGCCCTGTCATAGTCTAGACTATTGGAAATCAGCCCTGTCTTTTGACGTGCAAACAGTTCTACCAGTGCAATTGAATCAGACATTCCCAGTGAGATGCGTTAAAGGAAGAGCATCATAGAGATCTGATACGCCATGGGAAAATACAATCAGAAGAGATTGATTTGCTCAGACAAGGGATCTATACCTATGACCTAAACATTCATCGTCCAGTGTTTGCCGATAGGAAGCTGGTCATCCGGCTCAGACAGCTAACTTTTTAGCATACCCTTCAGGATGACGTTGTGAGATGGATACAAACTGTAGTACAGAGAACCAACCGATAGAAAGATGTAAAATCGATTCACATTGGCATAAACACAGGTACAGCATCCTCACATAGAAGCCTCCTCTGGGGTAATCCGGATTACTTAGCAGACATGTTTTCCAGGCAGCCTGTAACATACAGAGACCCGTTCTGAAGGCCGCAACATAATCCGCATCTCGCCGGGCGCTAGAAATACTCTAACCTATCGTATGCCAATTTCGATTTGTCAAGTCAGAGTGGACCAAAAAAGGATGAACACGGAGCTACCTAGGCTATCTGTTCAGAGATCAACTAGCACCATTTGTGTTTTTGATGAAACGGGCTGGAGTGCCTCGTCGGAACCGGTTATTGTGCTCGGCTATGACCATCGAACATTGTGACGGGTGTCCTTCTAATCAAGACAGTAGTTCATTCTTCTCCTTCCCGCTTGATTCAATGCATGGTTGTCGAACGAATCTTGTGGAAGTTCTCGAACTCAGGAAGACGTAAATGAAAGGTCTCATGTAATGTCCCCGCCATACAAGCTTGTCATAGTCTTTGGACTTTTCTGCATATTCAGGGGATCGAGCCAACCTTTTGTGCCGACGTCGAGTCTAGAGGCATCCCTGGACTGAATCTCAATTAGTCGATCCTGAATACTCAACGACACGTGGTGGATCTCACCTTGAAGCCTCACATTATCGGTTCTTGAGGGTCGGTTCCAGCTTTGCCATTGATGAGCGGTTTATCGATCAATCCATGGCGTTCCAGAAACGCCAAAAGCAGGCTGGTAAGAGAATAGACGGCTACAGACATATACAACACCCGAGTGGTGAGGATGTCGTGGAGAAAATCAACCAGCATTATGTAGTGATCCTTGGTTGAGTCAAACAATCTTGCGTTGTGCGGCCAGCACACTGTATTATAAGTTGCTCTGTCGTGCCAAATTGGAGGATTGAATTCGGGCTATGCAGAAAATTTCTATCAATAAATGCATATCCTATATGTCATCCCGCTGCGCGGATGGGGCGTCCGCATGCTTAGCTTACTGTGCTGTTGCCAGATGGGCGGAGGGCTCTTCTGGCAAGGACGTGCACCACATGAATGGAACTTCTCATTCAGCTTTCCATAGCTGCCTTACGAGTCGGTTTCCTGGCCCTATTTGATATTCTTATCTCCGTACGTACGATTTGGCTCGGTCAGCTCTGGCTTCCCATGAGCGAACTACAGTCGATAACGAAAGTAGCAAATACTTGGCCCTTCAAGGTGAAAAAGCATATATCCTTGAATTAGTTAATCCTTCTTGAGTGAGGTCCTTCGGTGTTGCCATCAGTTATTAGGTTCCGATTGGTGGCACATGAATCTGATATACTACCTTGACAACGAGACGTTATTTTATCTTTTTGTGAGTTAACCGTGTGCAGCAATTTCTAAAGAATGTCTGGAAGCGAGCGTAGGGTCTTCGAAACCCTTGTGTATGCCATTCCTTTCCTTCTCGCTCAGAATTTAGTACCCGCCATCGTGGTCCTGAGAACGAAGAAGAACTCGGTTCTCAGGTACTTGTGGATTGTTTGGTCCGTCTTTGTTTTTTCTCGATGGCTTCAGATCCCGATATCGCACGGCGAGAGTGCCACATACACCACCAAGGTGGGAGTCCAGCTTTTTATGGTGATCATCCAGGGCTTCAACCTGGTCTTGATCAACCCGCTGGACAAGAACGAGCTTCTTCAGACAAAGACTATTGACCCAAGAGATCATTTCCTGTGCGAGACGTACAAAGTTGCCCGTMTGTTTATATATTTGCGGGGCGTGCGGACACCATGGCAGGCGAAAAAGATCCCATCGCAACCGGTGTACCTCGCACGACAGCTAAAAGCCCCAATCTCTCGCAGTGCATTCTTGATGAGACAGGCTGCTATCCTGGCGTGGCTGTACTTATTCCTAAATTGCATAAGCTATCTAGCCGCTGGAGACTCAGCACCACTGTCAAAGCCTGTCTACGGCCTAGGCTACCTCCACGTTTCCAAGGAGGAATGGCGAACTCGAATCATGACCTCGCTGATGTTCTGGTTTGCCTTCTTGCGGGCTGCGGTAGATATTGACTATCGCACAGCGTCTATTTTGTGTGTTGGCACAGGACTGGACTCTCCGGAGGACTGGCCACCACTGTTTGGTCGTGCAAAAGAGGCCTACACTCTCCGCAATTTCTGGGGGTGAGTTGTCACCAGACAGCTGTGAGTGAAATCTGCTAACGTGCCTATGTTTTCAGTACATATTGGCATCAGATGTTCCGATGGCCGCTCACCGCGACAAGCAACTACCTGGTCCGAGATCTCCTGGTTCTTCCTAGGCCGTCGTTGCTCGAACGATATACCAACATCTTCTTCGTCTTTCTCCTTTCAGGCGTGATGCATGTCATGTCGGACCTATTCATGGGCATCCCTTTGAGCCAGTCGACTTCTCTTTTCTTTTTCTGCTCCATGCCGTTAGCAATTATGATCGAAGATGCGGTTCAGGCAGCTTGGTCTCGACTCTCTGACAGTTATAGTCCTGGAAGAGCTTCCACCAGCAGTGATGGATGCGCTGTGCCTTGCTGGCATAAACTTGTGGGGTTCATCTGGGTGTGTAGTTGGCTTAGTCTCATGACCCCAATCTGGTTGTATCCTATGCAGACGTCGAGAGGAAAAGGCTTGTTCCTCGTCAATATTCCAGAGCTTGTTGGTACACCGACAGCTATTGCGATGACTGTTGGTGGAGGTCTTGTGGTAAAATATATTTTTCGCGGAGAGCTTTAGAGCCATACCACAACAAATTGTACTCGGGCAACAGGATTACCAGTCTCAGTAGTATATTCCAGAAACAGTGAAGTGCAAGGTATAAATGAGAAAGTATTATTAGGAATGAGAAATCATTGAGGTATCCAAGCAACTAGACAGAACAACATTAATCGCAAATGATTGGCCGTGCGGTCCGGAGATAATCCGGTATTAGGGCTCAATCTTAGGGCTTGCACCTTCTCTCGCGTCTTTCCTCCGCTTCCTGCATTCCAAGCATCCACCACACTCTCGGCAAGAGCAAAACGGAATATCCATCACAAAGCACGCGCAAATCTACATTACTGTCTTGAATTTCAAAGCTGTTATCAACCGAGATACGTCTGGCTCTCTGGTTCCGTCGTTTGTCCAGAATGCACCATGGAAGGTGCCATGTGGCGAGACGTTTGAGACTTGGACGCCAAAATAAGCCGAGCGAGTCCGCCCATCGTAAGCTCGGGACTCAGTTGCATCAAATCCACTTTCAAGCCAAATGCCTGTTGTAGGTCGGACTCGAGCTCGACGGCGACCAATGAGTCCAGACCCAGACTTCGAAGCTCAGTTCCAGCGAGTATGTTCTCTGTAATGTTGAAGCTTTCCGACAACATCCTTGATAGCTGGGCAAGCACGGCATCTCTGTTACATATAGGTCGTGCCTCCGCATTGTCAGACAGTGATCCAGTGGATGATGTACGTCGGCCGAGAGATGATGAAGTATTCCGTGTGGCAGTCGTCGTTCGCGAAGCTCGAGCAAGCTGGTCGTCTCGCTGCGTCTGAATTTCTCGGCAAAGCGTCCCGACGTCAAATTGTCTTTCATAGAGGGAGATCGGTCTGTGAAGATTGAACACTTCTTGAATTCGATTCTCCAACTCAGTTGCTGCAAGGGAATCGACGCCGGCTTCCACGAGGAGTGTGCTGGCGGAAATCTCGCTTGGAGAAATTCCAGTTATCTCGTGAAGCAGGCGACTCAGTATAGGGTCAATATCCGAGACTTTGCTGTCATCCAAGGGCCGGCAAGTTTCAGTGGCCGGTTCGTATACCTCTTCTGTCTCGACTGAAAACTCCGAAGTTTTGAGACTGGCTCTCCTGACGATTCCGTCGAGGGACCTGGTGGTAATCTGAAGGAATCTCGCGCCAAGGATGGCAACAATCAATTGCTTACTGGTTGAGTCAAATACGAATGTGTCACTCAGGAGTTCCCTGGGCCCGTGGCGTATTTGTCGAGTATAAACAGTCCATGTGCCCATCTCTGATCGGAGACTCTTGAATGTGATCAACTCACTCAGGCCAGAGCAGATGAATACATCATCTCTCTTGCAATCGTCCCTGCACAGTGCCAGTACTTCTGCGATCAATGTGATCTGGTCCATCACGAGCGGATCGCACACTGCCATTTCCGAGCTGTTGCGACCAATTGCCGGCATCTCCAGCTGGGCGACTGCCGCGGTGTCTTTTATCGTCATGGCTTTGATGCCCCTATAGCAAGGCTTGTACTCGGCCACTTTCTCCAGCACTTTATATATCAAGCTTCCTTTCATGGAAATTGCCGAAGGGTCATCAATGATGTCCTGGGCATGACTGTAACCGATTACCCGCTGGATCACTGACCACTGGGACTCCATTCCGGATTTGCAATGTCGCTCCTGCTTAAGAGAAATCGTTCCTGTCGCGTGACATATGCTCTGGGCGTCTTTTTCACTGATGATCGAGAATCCCCACTTGCATGGTCCGACGTGTTTGAGCCTGAGGCCAATGCGAACTCCTCGAGCGTGCCCGAGCGGGTTATGGATTTCCAGATTCAGAACCTGTACATGAGCAGACGCCATCGAGCATTCGCGGCTGCCGGGAATGGCCGCAGCTTTAGCGGCCAGCTCGACAAACACTGACACAGGACACAAAACCTCCCCAAGGACTTCGCGGCCGTTCAGGTACCTGCTAAAGTCCGGATGACAATGATTGACTCCGAAATGCAATTTTCGCGGTTCTCCTTTGAAGCCTTCGTCTCGCAGCAAGTAGACTAGTGGCTTGTGTTCGTCAGAAATGATTGCCTCCCGCTCAGAGTCGCCCTGGCCCGCTTTGTCAGAATATGAAAGCCAGAATGCTGTCTCGTCAAATTGGTAACCGGGAACATCATAAGAGGCAAAAGTTGTCTTCTCTGTGTTATGATACAGCCAAAACTGCACATCAAGGCCTTCATTCCACATCTTCATCGTGGTTTCCGTTAGTGATGCCAAAGGTTCTGACGAATCCAATTGTAGTCTATGAAAAGAATGCCCTGAGCTGCTCTCGATCCCGAGGGCGCACTTCACAAGTGCTATGCCTCTGGATCCGGCGCCTCCTTCAACCCACGTGCAAGGTCCGAGTTCTTCGTCAACTCGAGAAATAGCATCGAAGAAATATACCGCTTCGCGCGAATGACGAACAACCAATTCGGGAGTGAACTCCTTCCAGCTACCGCCCATGGAACATGTTTCGATTGGAATATTCGGCGTCGCATATGAGATATTCCGTGCCAGAGCCATATAGTCATCCAGCAAGCAGTCTACCAGCTCAGAATGAAAGCCGTGAGTAGTCTTTAACCTTCGAGTCTTGCAGGATGTCTTGGCTTCGAGGGTGTGGATGGCTACTTCAGTGCCAACCAGGACGTGGTTCCTGGCTCCATTGAAGCATGCAATCTCTATCTTATGATCTGGGACTGAGCCGGCAAGTTCGAGAGCCCCCTGCCTGTCTACCTCAACGGCAAGCATACAGCCCCTTTCTTTACCCCATTTTTGCTGGATTAGCCTGGCTCGCCCTGCAACTAGCTTCAGCGTATCAGCAAGTGTCATTACCCCTGAGATACATATTGCAGTGAACTGGCCAATGCTATGGCCTATGACACGCTGGACGGGCAAGCCCGCATCAAGCCAAGCTGCGGCGCAAGCGTACTGCAACGAGAAGAACAGGCAATGAAGGAGCACCACATCCTCTATGGGCTGTTGGCCAAACAAGAATGGGATCAGGCCACGATGGCCCATTCTGCGGAGAATCCCGTCGCACTCGTCAATATGTGAGCGCAACAGACTTGAACCTTCATACGCAGCTTTGTCCAGGTAGACGATGTTCCCGGTTTGGCCTGCAAAGACCAGAACAACCGGCTTGGGCTTAGGTGAAGGCGACGATAGTTGCTCATGTGGTCTTGCATTCTGTTCAAGAATGCTTTTCAAGTCACTTAGCGAACTTGCTGCGAAGGTGATACGATGCCGAAGAGTCCGATTCTGCCTCCGAGCCACATTGAACGCGATATCTGACAATGGAGCGTGGGTATTTTCTGACCACTGACTAAGGGCAGCGCAGAACATCTGCAAGCTCCTTTCTGACTGCCCAGTTATCAAAAATGGGTATCCAGAGAGTCTGTCATTATTGCTAGCACTAGACTCTGGCCGAGGAGGCTCGCAAACAATCACTGCGGCGTTGTTGCCCGCTGCCCCATAATTGTTGATGCAAGCAGCACGGAAAGTGGCCTTCCATTCGAGTTCATTAGTTGGGACCGACAAGTTGTCCGGTTCGAGGGGCGGAATCGATGCATTCAACGCGGTGAAATTGGCCTGTGGTGGTATTCGTTGATTTCGGATCATCAACAGGACTTTGAGGAGCCCTGCAATTCCTGATGCGGCTTCTGTATGTCCGATGTTGGCTTTGACAGAGCCGAAATGCAACGTAGGTCTCGAACCCCCAAACACTTGTCGAATACTTCTGCATTCGACTGGGTCTCCCCGCGGAGTACCAGTGCCGTGAGCCTCAACGTAGGTGATGTCCTTGGGTTGCATGGCTGCCAGCGACAGAGCCTTGCGATAGAGGTTGGCCTGCGAGTGTGACGTTGGGACAGTAATTGCGTCGCTGCCGTCGCAATGATTCGCTGCCGATCCGACAATCACGCCTAGAATATCATCATTGTCGGCCACAGCACATGATAACTTCTTCAACATGACAAAGCCACATCCTTCTCCACGGCAATAGCCATCGGCAGAAGCATCGAATGGACGGCAAGGACCAGTTGGACTCAGAAACCTGGCTGCCGCCAAGTTCTCTTGCATATTCGGGCAGGAGATTATGTTGACTCCTCCTGCCAGGGCCATGCGGCATTCGCCCATCCTGATGTCCTTGCATGCCTGATGGATAGCCACAGCTGACGAAGAACACGCAGTATCAATGGTCATCGATGGTCCCGTCCACCCAAAGTAGTGACTTATGCGACCGCTCACAAAGGCTCGAGCAGTGCCTGTGAATGAAAATGCTGTTGGGGCACGAGAGCAGACGTTATGATCATAATCGGAGCCTCCGACGCCAACGTAGCAGCCAATATTCTTGCCTTTGATGTCGCTCCCGAAGTATTCAGATGACTCAACAGCTTGGTACGCCACACGTAATGCAATGCGCTGTTGAGGATCCATGTAAGTAGCTTCCCTTGGGGATACTCCGAAGAGTCCGTGGTCGAAGTGGCCTGCATCGGAAAGGAAGTTGCCCCTCAGAGGCTTTTCCCGTGGTGCCTTGCGCAATGACTTGTCTGCCGCAATTCTGCCTTCAGGAAGGTCACCGATCATTGTGCCCCCTGTTCGAATGAGTTCCCAGAATTGCTGCATAGTTTCTGCACCAGTGAATTTGCAAGCAGCTCCAATGACAGCGATAGAGTGCTCGGGATAGTCATAGCGATATTCATCATTCACTGATGATTTTTGTTCCTTCGGCGAAACGGTCGAGGTCAACGGCGGCGTGAAAACTTGGAGGTTGGCGGATGCGGTCAGTGATCGTGGGAGACAGCTCACAAGGCCCAACTCCAATATGAGCGGCCGCTGATTTTTCTCAGGCTGCGACTTCAAGCTGGAAATAGTCTCCGTCATGGTTGAGTACCAGTCAGCTGGCTCCGTCAACACGCATTTCAAGGCAAGCTCATGCAGCTTCTCCGCCGATGTGATCAGTTCCCCGGTGGTGTTATTTCTCAATGGGACCAAAGGTGTGTTGATGATGGGGAAACGTAGAGACTCTTCGTTGTTGCAGATTTCAAGGAGATCTTGAAGAATCTCGGCGTGTGTTCTGCTGTGGTATCGTCCGTGGATGGGAATTTTCGTCACCTTAGCGTTTCGTGCTGCCAGGTCGGTCCGCAGCAATGACACCTGGGACTGTTTGACTGTGACAGTGATGCTTCTGTCGTCGAGCTCGACAGACGTGTACACCTATTGGATGCTGTTAGCTTGACACGCTGACATTGGGTTGCCGCGTCATGTCTCAATACGCACCCCAGGATACCCTCTCAGGACTTCTGTTACTCGATCCTTTCCACAGTTATCTTCCCAATATACGATCATGCAGGTGTGGACATCTGCGCTGTCATGCGTCAACCTGTCCAGGTCAACGTAGGCACCCACGCACGTGGCTAATCTCAATGCGACAAGAGCGTTGCACCATATGTCCCTTTCCGTTCTGGAGCATGCCAGAGCGGCAGCACTGAGAAAGCCTGTGCAAAGCCCCTGGAATCCGCCTTTACACGCGGATTGCAAGATGCGCCGATGTCTGTCTTCTTGGGAATCATCGCCGTCGAAGGAGTGCGCAAATCGGAGATATTGAACCAGATGAATAATGATTGTGAGCGGTGCTAATAGGATGTTTGGCAAGTCTTCTGGTATTTCCAACAAGCACTCATCCCTAGCCCAATCTTTCAACTTTTTCAGAGGTTCGTCGTTGACTTGTCTCAAGACGGGCTTGACCTCAACCAAATGCGACCAAAACTGTGGCAGGTCATCCACTGCCCTGGCAAGCTCTGTCAACCTCGGGTCTTTGAGATTTGCTTGAATGCGCTGCAGGCAGTCTCTTGAGGGCGGAGGGCTTTGCGAGCCGCAAACAACTGTCGATGGGAGTGCTAATGCCATAGAGAACGAGTACTCTTTGCGCAATTGAGAAGCGATATCCTGTTCGTTAAAGGGCTTTCCAGGGTCGATCGTACATTATCATCTATTGAAGGACTTGTTGACAGGATCGATGATTATTGTCACAAGGACGTCCATAGAAGGATATCGTGGTCACGACATTGCTATGGCAAATGGATTCGCGATTATTCGGCCCGAACGTAACGATATTGACCGAAGTCATTCCAGTAGAGGACCTTGACATCAAACTTGAACTATCGCACCAATTTGATTTGTCCATTCTCGTTCAAGCTACATACTCCTATTGTCCACCAGATGAACACGAACCAGCACGTACATGCCTTCTTGTCCCTTGCATCCTCAGAGCCATCCGCGTCTGCAGGCGGATAGCAAGGAAGGCCGGCCAAGTTTGCCAGTCGTCAAACATTGAACTGGGGACCGGATATGAATTCATAAGTGTTGCGTGCTAAGCAAGGGTGGCATGCCAAGCTGATAATTTACGCCTGCTGAAAGGTGAAACAGAATGGTTGCAATTTATGCATGTTATTTTCTGGATGATTAAGTGCGTCTCGCTTCAGTCAGACTACGGCACTTGGAGGGAGTCATCAAATGCCTCATTCCGGGCTAGCTACGCCGGTCCTGGCAACAATCTGATCAGATAGAATTCCGTGGAAACCTTGAATAAGACAATATCGGATACCTAGGGACCCATGTCACATACCGCCCGGCAGTGCTCCTCTCAAGTGCAAAGACAACATCATGTCGGCCGTTTCACTATCCAATTGAGTAAGAGAAATCCAGCCTTGGGCTTGATGTCTGTCCTACCATTGCATCAAGGGGTCCTGGTCAAGCCAAATCCAACCCACATGGGGCGATTTTGCAATGCGGATCATCCAAGGGCCATTGCTCCGCGACTGAAGTGCAACGACTGTGAAGGCGCTCAAGTGGCTTGTGCTCATTCCGCCTGCAGATCTTCACCTATCGCCATGCGTCCGATATTCAGGCCCTAATTTCCTTCCACTACGCATCTAGACGAGCTGAGCGCGCGCCACTGGTGACCTGCGGGCCAAAACATCAGGTTGTAGGGAGCCTGTGTGCTGGTCAGCCCTATCAGCCTATCTCGGGTCTCAATAGCTTGACGTGTTCCATGCGCCTCGTGGTTCGGTTGAAAATTTGTCGGTTGAAATTGGAATGTCGCTCTTTGGTTTAGGTGTCACTGATAACATACCTGGACTAGCGGATGATCTTCGAACCTCTGTACCGATCGACAGAAAGACCAGCACAGAGACTCGTCGGCTTGCGTAGCGCAGGTTTATCTGTCATGATTTTGATATCAACGTCGGCCCATAATTTGGTCTTTTGCATTAGTTACCCCTGCGGATGTCCTGCAGCTCTGGATAGGGAGGAACCGAATGACAGCCGGTATGGATCACAATGCTCAAGGTAATTGTTTGGTACACGGAGCAAATGAATTCTGGTCACCTGTATGACCTGCTAATCAGCTTATGCATAATGAGTCTCAGCTGTAAACAGCAGATCCAATCATGACCTACCTTTGATTCCCGTGCGGTAACGCTGTCATATTCGGGACATAAGGTCCGTAAGGTCCGTCCATGACGCATCGCGCAAGTCAGATATGCAGGGTCTTCCTTGATAACGAGAAGACCCACGGTCTAGATTCATTAGAATCGGATTGAGTACGCTTTTCATGTGCGCCTATGTCGTTCATTCCGCGTCAGACACTTGGGATGGTATCTGGCATTCCACACTTAGGACGTGGAAGTTCCTGCCATGCATGAATATGCTTTCCTCAGCCAAAAAAGTTTTGAATACTAGATCTACCGTGCATCGTGCTTGAGGGATAAATATTACCAGACGCTGTTTGTCACCTGCTTGCCCCTGGGTCATCGTACCCATCTTCGGGCCAAACATGCATGCTGAGGCATTATGGTGTTAGGTACGAAGTGTTCGGAATTGCCGGATACTAAACGCTCACCTTGCTGTGGAGAGAGAAGAAGTCGGCTTGGAAATTATGCCATGCATGTCTGGGATTCCACTGAAGCAAGTTGCCTACCTCATTTTGCAAGCTGGGGTGAAGTCCAGAGTCGATGTGAGTACCTTACAAGGCAACTATTGAGGACTATGGGCGAGTTATGCCACGTACGAGTGTCCAGGATAGAATGCCATGACTAGGATTGCCTGTGCCCATCGGGCGAAGATGTGGCGATAAACCCTTGACTTGGGAGTCTTATCGGCCCTTTCAGATCTTCAGCTACGTGTTAATTCAGGGCAAACAAGTCGAGAGCTGAGAACCTTGCTCATGCTTGCCTTCTTCACTGTTGATGCTTTAGTGGATTGTCCCTGAGAACCTTCGGCGGGGCATTCGTAGGGCGAATCGCCGCAAATTCAGAGGGGCAAGTAGAGAAGAGCGGAATTCAAGACATATGTTGATTTTGGACTACAATAATGGCCTAGGTTGAATATGCCTTCCTTCAAGGACAAGTTCAACTTTTGAGTCCCGAGTAAGGGAGACTTGATGATAGCCAGCCCTAGTGATATTTCTGAACGATACTGTTCCTGATAGACTATAGTCGTCATACCACTTTGGGTGTAGCGAGTTGATACACCCTACTCGATAGTATTTCGGCTGCTTTGTCTCAAGGGATCTGCCAATACCTTATTGGGTGTCATTTGTCTGTTGCTCAAGAAGCGAACGAATGACATTCACTCCGGTTCTTATGGACCATGACAAAGTTAACTATCACAAGCAGTATATTGGAATGACCACTCTTTTAGAGATGACACAGACAGTTATATCCTTATTTGGAGAATGTGCATAGTTCAGTGCGTTAGCAACTGTATGTTGTTCACCCTGTCTGTGATGGTCGAGCCGTCACCACCTCTCCCTCGAGGTTTCTGCCTTGAATGACCTCTTGCTCAGTGCACGAGGTCGTAGGCTCACTCTACAGCTTTGTCAGCACGCAGTTTAGCGAGATGCACTTATTGCACCGCACAGTAGGCTTCCTAGATACGGAATCCAAACATCTCCATGGCGACGCCAAGCTGTTATAACTACGTCACACCATATTTGTCTTGTTTAAGGAGTACATACTTTTCTTCTCTCCTCATGCTTATTCCATGTCAATATCACCGTATCATTTGTGCATCTGGATTGTTCGTCATACTGTCCCTTTACTCTCATGACGTCTGTGATGCTAACAGTTGTGTCAGACTCAGCCTATGTTTCTGAAGACAACATAGTGCGCCCAATAAGACCGCTGTTTATACGCGTTGGTTTGCAAACGAGGACACTAGGACTGTACCTAGCCTGGGAATTATCCAAAGCGACGATGGCTCCAAAAGGGAAGAGGTCGCTTATCGGAATGGTCTGGTACGTCTTGCGATGGTGTCTCCTATCGACACATTGTTGATATGTGGATAGATGTACCGCTTCAGGACTCCTCCCTCCTCTTATTACACAAGGTCCTCGAGACGGCCTGTCGTTCCGTCTCTGAACCATCAACACAAAATCTTACCATTGAGAACATGATCCGGACGAAGTTGAGGAGGAACTTGAAACCGACAAATCCACTTCACCTTGGGGATATAATGAAGGGCATAGTCATATAGATCACTCCATGCTATGCTCGATCCACGGAAGGCTTCAATCAAAGACCACTTATTACAATGTGGAAAAGCCCTATTGTGTGAATGCCGCATCTCTTCTCGTACTGAAGTTGGGACTTGCCAAAGTATGCAGGGAAGTGGAATTCGAGATCTTGTGGATTTGATGCTGCTCCCGAGATAGCCTTTGTGACAGATTTCTGTTGTTTTCGGACTATCAAAAGCCTCATTACCTAGGAGACGACATCGCAGGATCTGCTGCATATCGTCTTACTGGCTGAGAGAATCACCTCAGATGTCTCGGGCCACCAAAGACAGTATTGCCAACCTCCTCAACAAGAACGGGATCACAGATACATTCGTCATACGTTTGTCGAAATAGTGGACATTGATCTGTGCTTCTGCCGGCCCCTACTTCTATTGACATCGGAACATCCCTAGTGGTTGGATTCAAAGCAATCAAGCAAATGATTATGCATGTCATTCAAGCGACGCCTCAAGAATGTAGGATCTCCTTTGCGAGCTTCTCTTCGGTCATGTAAGTAAATGGAAATCTGCCCGAGGTATGAAAACCTTCTCTGATCAAGTCTACGCAGCACCGAGTCCTCCAACGTCTCCGACCCAGCATTGTTCCCCAAGAGAGTACGCACAACAGTTCAGCCCAGCGACTGGTAGGGCTTTGCTAATCTACAAAACATGAATGTCTGATCGAAGGCTTCGGTACAGATGATATTTACAAGATGGTCGAGGACAAGTTCTATCACCCGGCACGTCCACTATGCGGAATTGCTACAACGCAAGGAAGAAGCCGGATTACGGAACACGGCTGCGATTCAGGACCTTGCCCTAGCAACCAATGGATGGCCCCACGCCGAAAAGCGAAGAGATTAAGAGGAAGGAGATGGCCGCCTCCCTCTCAGCCTGTCGAAAGGCAGGCTTAGAGAAAAGCAAGGGCAAGCGGCCGCCGCTAGACTCTGATAGGGAGCAAGACAATACAGAAGAAGATGAGGTCTTACATGTGCCTTAATAGGATACCTCATGATCAGCCTATGGAAGGCTTGCTCGCAGGCAAAACCACAAACGCAGCTGGATTAATAATTAAGTGTAATGGGCCAGATGTTGTTGACAGCATAGCTGGAGTAGCTGCTGTCCTGTGGATGTCACACCCTCCTCATACAGGGCCAGTTGCCCAAGTCGATGAGCGCAGTGGCGCGTAGACCTGAACCATGGAACTGAGCCAGTAGGTTGCCTGCTTTGGTGTCTGGATGCACAAACAAAGACTGATATCAGCTTGTCAGTGTGGAGCGCCATCATACTGAAGCTGAACTTTCCAGACGACATTTGCAGATCCAGACTGAGCAGGAAAGGTTGCTGGCTATAATCAAGTTGTACCATGGCATGTTTAACCAGCTAATACATGCCTTGGTTGAACTTTGACTGGGATATTCATACATCAGAGTTTGGTCCTCGCCTGGGTGATAGTGATTAGGAGTCCTCTTCCCCGCAGGGTCTACTTTTTAGATATGAGGCGCTGGAATATGGCTAGCTTTCTGTTGGTCTCTGGTTCCCATGTCGATGTTGATACACAAATGCCAGTCTCTTCTCCAGTTATCTCTTTCCTTCCAGATTACATTATCAGAGCCCAAAGCTGGTTAAAAGAATGTGCTACACATTCAACAATGTCTATGCGTAGATTGTCATATCGCAATGAATACGAGCATGCACCTATGCTTCGTCTTGGATTTGGCATAGAGCGCCCTTGGCGTATATCGTTCAGCTTCTGGATACGAGTCCTCTCTGAGGAGTCAAGAGCTCAAGTCGCTACTAAGTTGATATCTCGTTTTCGCTTCTCCGTGAAGCTTGCATAGCGAATCCCCAGTGTGATGAATACTATCCTACTTCATCCTCATCGTCTCTGCTCTTCAGTATCGGCCCGGATTGCCGTCAGCAACGAGCATCTCTCGCCTTCCTGGGAGTCAAGGAGGCTGGCCCAAAGATATAAAAGGAGCACGACGGCCAGTACCAGAGATATGTTCCATCAACAGCATTCCAAGACCTCGCAATTGCCATCCAGAAGAAGAACGCTATTCGGAAACTCAAATCCAATCTCTCGCCATAATGAAGATCACCGCTCTGCTTGCTCTCGCTCTTGCAGCCGTTGTTGCAGCATCTCCTGTCGCCGAACCGGAACTTGTCGAACGTAAGCAGCCTCAACGTTGGTCACAGTGGCCATGTCCACTTGTGTGTCTGTAGGATAAAGCTGACAGCAATTTTCCAGGTTCCTGCACGAGCAACTGTGCCTCTCTAGCGTCAAGCTCCTGCTCCAAGTCTTGCACTTCGAGCCCTAGCTGCTATACTGCCTGTTACAGCGCCAAGTATGCTGCTTGTGTTCGTGACTATTGCTAGAAGCCGACAATGGAGGATATGGAAGGAATCTAATGCTGGCAACTGAAGTGCTTGGGCAAGAGCCAGGAACATCAGGCGAAAGCTATGTCAGTTGAGTCAATGTGTCGAGCAGGGCGGCCTGCATCCTTTATGAGAGGGTGATGCCTTGCGAGCAGGGAAGCAGATGTACACAGTGACGAGCACTCTTTCCATATATACGATATTTCACTACACTTGTTCTACCGTATAGGGATAGTGTATGGGCTTGAGCGCTTGACCGTCTTCGACAGCTCGTCGAGCCCTATAGGCATAAAAAGGTCTCCGGACGATGTACTCCTTAGTCTAGTGGTATAGGATCTGAACAGAGACCAATATCTTAAGTACAGATGGAAATTCCATTCCGACACACGATCCCAACACACCCGTATTTGATGTTGACATTCGCAACCCGGTTCTCTGGTAAGGACATTATGTTACCTCAGTCGCGTTGCCCCTGGTCCTCATCCTCCTAATTTTTTTTTAGGGACCAGTAGTACAGGAAGTCTACCATGCCGCTACCATAACTATGGAGTGACAAGGACTGAAATGGTAGTATCGGTGGCTCGTCCCTCCGGCAAGTCCTCGTCCTCGGCCTCGGCAGCCTCTAAGGCAGGGGAGTATTCCGGAGCACATTGAGTTCCTGCCTTATGTCGCTCAAAAGCCTCATCACCGGGAGGCGACAGGGCAGTGAATCTACTCCGCGTCATCCTCAGGCTAAGGACATCCACCCAAGACGCCTCGAGCAAGCAAGGACATAGCCAAGCTTCTCAACGAGAAGGGCATTAGTGATCTGTTCGTCGAAATAGTGAACCTTGATCTGTGCTTGGCCCGTCCCTGTTTATGTTGTCGCCAGAACATCCCCTGAACGTCAGATTCAATGCAGCCAAGCAAAAGATCATACAAGCCGTTCAATCAAAGCTTTCCGGACGATGGAGTCTTCTTTGTCCCTTCAACGTTGGCCGCGTCGAGGCCGAGGCCCGCCCGGCTGTCGTAATCCACGTCAGTCCAACCGCAAGAGCCAACTGGGTCGGTCGGAGATACAAGAATTACTTGGACACTGTGACTCCCAGACAGTTGAGGTGGAGTTTCTCCCTGGAGGTCTGAACTTCGTGCGCTTCCTGTGAAGCTATGGACTATCCGCAAGGACGAGTATTGTGAGATCAGGAGCGCACCAGCTAACCTAGGGCTCTCGGGGACCCTGAATTGCAGTCACTGTCACTGGCTGGCTCGAGGAAGTTTCCGTTTAATAAAGTATTATGATACTCGAGAGGGAGAAATATTTATTTGGAGCAAGAAGTCAATGTCAATTATGGCTCGACATTAATACTGGGCTGGCATGGCAGGTGTTGTTCGTTGCCTTTGTGTTTGAGGACAGGTCTCCATGGAGTCGGGCAGTGCGAGCTATGCCCTGGTCAAGCCTTTACCTACAGGCATGTTTTCCTTGACGTGGTCCACTGGACATCAGTCTACTACCTAAACAAGTGGCTCATATCATTTAGAGCAATGTCTAGCATGGCTAATCAAATACCCCCTGTCCCTGGTACATTCCCCTGCTTGTCTGATCGCTGGGCGACAATATCTGCGTAGAGAAGACCACGACCGCCTGTACCCAGATACACCCGTCCATACACTCGAGGATCTCCCTGGATGAGATTGAACCCTCCATAACGATGTGTATCATCATCAACCCGGTCCCATGTGGACCCGTTATCATCCGACCGATAGATCCCATAAGCACTCTTCTCCGGATGACCAGGCGAGCCTCTAATAAACAGTGCTGGCTGCTTAGACCCAGGAGCTGCTGCACCCACGGTGATCAAGTCGGCGACTGTTCCCTTGTGCGTGATGAGTTTCCAGTGCTTCCCAAAGTCGGTGGTATGATAGACCCCGTTGCTACCGAGGGCTAGCCAGATCTCACCCGCCCTGTCGACGCTTACGACGGGGACAGCGCCGGTGGAGGCAGGCAGTCCAAGCTTTGTTGCATTAAAGGCATCATATGAGAGGCCACCGTCCGTGCTGAGATACCAAACTCCGCCGGAGAAAGCGTAGAATGTCTTCGGCTGTACGCGATCGGCGCTAATGTATGGCGTCTGCACCGTCAGCCCGCGAGGCGATGTCCAGGTCTTTCCCCAGTCGTTCGAGGCATACGGACCGGAGTCACTCGCTGCCGGGGTCACGGCCTGCACAGACGACGAGACGACGTACATGGCAGACGTCCAGACGACGTACTTTCCAGAGGCATCGATAGTCATAACGCCTGGGTTGGTTGAACTGGTGTTAACACCGGCGATGCATGTCTGGAACTTGGTCCACCCGCTCCCTCCATCCGTCGAATAAGCCGCCTGGCCGCATCCATCCGGATACTGATGTCCGCACGGCCCACCGCGAACAATAACCTCCGGCCGCTGTCCCGCCCAGTCAAGGGTATTCAGGTTCGAAAACACAGGGAGCCCAAACATTGGCTGCGGCGTGTCGAGATCATCGTGCCGGAACCCGTTGATATCACCCGCTCCGCTGAGGAGATGCGCTCCCTCTCGGGGACTGATCATCGCCAGTGTGACGGTCTCCTCGATTCCCTGTGCCTGGATGTACCATTCCGGCGCGGAATTCTTATCCGCGCGGGCTATGGTATCTGTCGCCCAGATCGTTGCGCCGGTTCCATATAGGACATGGTCAGGGTTGCTCGGGTCGATGAGCACGGCTGTTATCCACCAGCCGAACTTGGTCAATCCCTTGACGGGAGAGGGTGCACCGTATCCGCCCCACTGAGGCCCCCAGTTGAAGCTCAGCCAGGGGACCGTTGTTCCGTTGGCGAGTGCTGCTTCGGCGATCGGATGGCCCCAGTATCCTCCGCTTCCTGGTGGAGTGGAGAGCTGTGAGACGTCTTTCCAGCTCTTGCCGCCGTCGCGGGAGAGATACATGCTATCCAGCGCTGGGCCCGGGTCGCGGTCGAGCGAGACCACGACGACGGTATCTGGGTCGTCGGCTGCAACGCTCAGACCGCAGTACCCCCCTGCCGGGAATGCCTGGGGGGTATACGGTTTCGGAGAGGTGTTGTTAGCGTTCGGTGTTATGTCCATCCATTCGGATGCTGTCGTGTTGTAGACATGCACCGCGCCATAGGACACTCCCCATGGTCCCGGGTAATCCGCATAGGTAACGTACAACGCTCCATTAGATGCCAATACTGCGTTCATCGGCTGCGGGCCTGCGCTCTGCGGCTGCGTTTCGTTGGGATAGACGAGCAAAGACGGATCCCATTGCATTGGCTGCCCTGGAATGGACTCCCACGTCTTTCCTCCGTCGGTCGTATAGTACAATCCGCCGGGAATGCAAGCGCCCACGTAGATAGTCCCTTCACGCTGCGGGTCGAAAATAACAAACGTGATTCCAATCCCGTTGGCCGCCGCATCAGGGAAATTGGTCACGTTCGTCCACGTCTTCGCGCGATCACTACTCTTCATCAACCCAGCGTTGCGAGTTCCCATCCACAGCTCATTAGGCTTGAACGGGTTAACCGCGAGTCTCTCCCCATTATTCCGACCCAACTCGTTCGAGCCCATGGGGAAGGGGGCGCGGTATCTCGTAAAAGTCGCTCCGCGATCGTCGGACACGAAAAACGCAGAGTTATTAGAACTCAGGTACCGGCCCTGCGCTAGATACAAGCGGTTCGGGTCAGTTGGATCCATGGCCACGCTCTCCGTCCCGAGCAGATTCTCGTCCTCGGCGCCGATGAAGTCGGTGAGTGGGATCCATTTGTTCAGCCCCTTTTCCCAGCGATATGTACCACCGATGTCGGTACGGGCGTATAGCAGGTTCTTTTCAGTCGGGTGGCCCACGATGCCAGTGATGTAGCCTCCTCCAGTGATCGCGACGGATTTGAACTCGTACGCATGTTTGGCAGTGGCTGCGGCCGCGCTCGTTGCGCACAGCACCGCCAGCCCTAGCTGTTGGAGCCAGTATTTCATGATGGTGGTAGCTCGCTCCTCGCCATTGCATTATAGCAGGGGAGACTCATTGTATATTCGCAATGGATCAATCACTCCGCCGGGAATTGACTCGATAGATCACTCATATCGCGAACCTACGCGGCTTCCGGTCCGTCTGTCCCGGTGCTGGCTTGATCCACGAGGAGAAAGTTGCGGTGTCCGCGGTCTAAGCTGTTCCCCAAATTAGCTGCTGGGCAATACGGGCTTTCCCCGCAAACTAAATGCCTCCGCATGGAGTGGACATTGCTGCTATCACGAGTCTCCGCGGTGATTGGTGGCAAAACTACCAGAAGGATTATATTGCAGCTCATTCCCGGCTAAATGCAAGAGAGATGAGATGATATCGATGCCGATTGGATTGATTCTTACGCCCTGTCTGGAGTAGTGCGGTTCTCCCATCATGGTTGGTTCCAAGTCCCAACTCTATGTTCTTCAAGTTTGTTTACAGAACTCTCCCTGGTTCGTGCAGTTGTATTGTCTTCCTTCTAGTTTCACGCTGCGAACTTAACTTGGCTCTCGCATGGACTGCCATTCTTATCGTGTCAATTAGAGGAAAGTTTCCGAGGTATTTTCCTGCAGATCCCTGGGCTGAGCAATCTACATTCCATATCGCAGGGCTACACTCAATTGCCGGTGCAGGTTAAAGAAAAAGGGGAAATATCAAGATTATTTATCATGCAAACCTCCTGTAACTCCATGCTAGAAAACAACAATAAAGCACGATGGCACAATTTTCCGGTTAAGAGTGGACTCAGTGACTCACCAGCTTCCTGTCAGCCCTCGTTATCGGCCCCATACATCCCTGACTTGGCACACACGACCAGAATCAGAATGCAGCTTCCGACAACCGGGACACCGATGCCACCGTGACGAGGTGCTGCTGGATGTGCTTGAGGACGGCAATCTAGCCATCGGTTGAGCCTGCTTTTTCCGTGGTGCCTTGGTGCCGACAGTGGAATTCCTAGACTGTACGCGATTAGATCCTGGAGCATTATCCGCACGATTGATATCCCTACCCGCGTTGGATCCGTCGTCCGCTCCACTGCCCGAGCTGGAACTACCGGCTGTCTTTCTCCGGCGTGATGAAGGCGGAGTAGGCGGAAGCTGCACGCCGCCGTCGACGCTATCGTCGCTGCTGTCGTCGGCATCGTCATCATCACCGTCGCCGCCACCAGGTTGGTTATTGATGGCAGACAGGTTCCTGCCTCCCCAGTTAGTCTCCCAAAAGGTCAACCCAGCATACAGCTTAATCAAACTGTGGAAGTAGGCAAAGACAAAATAGCCTGGTAGCATGATGAGATCCTGGGGCTCGCGGAGGAAGTACGGCGTTAGCTTGACCATCTTCGTGCAGAAGATCCAGGCCGCGAGATATTTCAGGTTATCAGCGGTTCCGAGCGGGCTTTTGAGCAGGGTGTACGCCAACGCACCGTCGTAGAACAGGGCAAAATTGACGAACGAGGTCCAGTACACAGCATACACGCACCACGGCTGGGTATACCAGACCGTCCTGTCAGTGAACAAGCTGGCCGAGTTGCTTCTCCAGGTCGTTCTGACCCAGCGCAAGCACTGAGAGAGGAACTTGGGATACGTACCCAGCGTCGTCTCGATCATTGCGTCGGGGCAGTACTGGATCTTGACCTTCCAGCCGTGTCGGACATCCCAGCGGGTGATGAAGTTGTCATCGTCAGCGTTCAGGGGACCGAACAAGCCGAAGAAGAATCTCTCGTTCGTGAATCCGGCGATGAACTCGGGATCCTTGAGGATCTCGGACCGATGCGCAGATGTGCGGCCAGAAACGACAAACACGCCATTATCAATTGCGTTAGTTGCACGGATCTCAAAGTTGTGTCGTTCCAGGTACAGCGCACCGAGCATGTTCCAGAAGGACCTGATGTTGAATCCGGTGTCGGTACGACGGACGCGTTTGTTCGTTCCGACGATGCCCACCTTCGGGTCTTCGAACGGCGCAAGGATGGTCGGGAGGAAGCGTTCGGTGGGCCAGAAGACGTGGTCATCGAGCAGGACCGTGATCTTGGTCTTCACGTATCGAAGGCCGTGCGCGACCTGTCGGCGCTTGTTCGCTTCGTCAGCGGTCCTGRCGGAGATTTCGGTATTCGGGAATCTCCGCTTGTAGGGGGCGATAATGTCTTTGGTCAGTTTCGTCAGTTGGTCTCCAACAGTAACAATGATGATTGCACCTGGCTTGTTCCGAAGGCATGAGGTGATACACTCTTCAAAGTCTCTGTTCTTGGGATCAACGGTGGGGAGAATGATTGTGCAGTCAGACGGGAACAGGGTAGGGTTTCTGGAGACAGGGGTAGGACGATAGAAGAGCCAGAAGGAGATGAGATGGACGATAAGACGGAAATACCGGAAGACGAACAGATGGAGAAAAATGACCGTCATTCGGTCGTAGAGAACGTCATCTCTTCGAAGGTCTGCGGGTAGAATGCCAGCTGCCCGGGAGGTTATTTCCGTGTGTACATCGTGAAGGGTCCGGCCGGTCGATTGCATGAAGTATGCGGCGGCTGCTGCTGCTACCATAAACAGCCGAGGCTGAGTGATTACCCAAGGTAATGTGATAAAGGCAAGGAGTCCGTACATTTTGTTGAAGTGTTGATTGGGAAGTTTGAGTGAGGGATGAGATGTGTTGCTTCAACTTGCTGTAGTTGATGGTGTTGATGAAGCTGTAGTCTAGGATTTTCCGCGATATTTGAATCCAGCAGAGGAACAAAGAGGCATCAAGTGAACCAGATAGGAGAGACAATATTCACTATTGTGAAGGCCATTGTGAAAGGCAGTCTCTGACAGACCCATGGTGAAGTGAGATGTTTCTCTACAGAACAAAGGCATTGAAGACAAGGGGCTATGGGGTTTCTTACAAGTCGTTTGCAAGCACATTATGATGGTCACCAAGTACCAGGGACACAGAGTCGACAATGAAACATCTTAGACAATGGATTATGTTCTTTGTTCAGTCATGTTAACAAGAGAGGGAAACACAACTGAGGAACAAATGAAGATATGTCTTTCAAAAACCTCAAATGCCGCAAAGAAGAGGTCTCAGGCGCTTTGTCAGAACAACGCAAGGATTCGGGCTACCCGTGGTAGCATTTAGCCACCGAGCACTTCCTTTCTCCCAAGAGGAGCACTCTGATACTATTCAAGTCAAAGAGCCAGCGAGTGTGACATTCAGCATAAGACCCGAAAGCGAGGATATGGGCCGAATCGATACATTCTATCTCGGCACTGTCGATTGACATCGACGATCTAAACTTCACAGCTCGATCACATTGGAAGAAACTCCCAGGAATAGCCATTGTAAGACGATCCCGGGTATACGAAGGTGTCATAGCTGCGCTTGAATGATCCGCAAACGGTTTCGATGGCTCAAGGTCCAGATGAATTATATACGGTGGAAAAAGACTGTGAAGCTCCATCTCTAGAGCTGGTGCCCCGCCGGTAGTAATCACTTCCTCCAAGCTATATGCCCGCGGATTCGCTAGGGAGGAATTGGAATACGATGAAAAGTAATACTGGAAGTGGGCAATTGTGAAGATGCGGCCATTTTGCCAACTGGTACTTTGCCAGAGAGATGGTGGACGGCGGACTTTATCCAACCCCAGCAGTTTTCTATCTCGGTCCCCGAGAGCAAGATAAACTACACACGAAAGCCAATATCGGACATGATCATCCAGAACACTGGGATAGCGGTCGAAGAAAGAGAGATACTCATGTTCGCCTGGGCTGGATAGAGCACGGATACTAAAATACTCCTAATAGCTAGCACTACAACATTGGGACAGCGAGCTTCGGACAAAAGCGTCATTGTTGGATAAGTTTGAGATTCGGGATTGACATTGCAATACTGTCTGTGAAGGCTCAAAATAGGTGCATACGGCAGTGCAACGAAGTTCACCCACTGGAAACCTATTTGTGTAGTGGCTCAATCTTAATGGCATTTGAGACATTGTATATGCCAGCACTACTCATGACTTCATGTATGGCGAAGAGGCTAAGATCCCTCCGAACACGCCGACCCTGGTAACAAAAATACCGCGCAGGGGCGTAAAAAGAGAAGGGTAGACTCCTCTCGTTCCATAAGACGATGGATTTAGTTGCAGGCGAATTCAAGACGAGCATCCGAGTTATCTCACGATAATCGAGCCGCTTGAATACACGCTTTGCAAGGCTTCACATACAATATATATGAAGCTATAGGACCCCTCCAGAGATTGGAGTAGAACCAGATACTCGCCGAGTCCACCGGCGCTGTCCATTGCTCTGTGCAATTGAGATGCGCCGCACCGAGATTGCCGACATTCAGATCCCAATGCCGAGGGTATCCTCAGAGCTGCAGCACTTACAAATTTCTATGAGCCTTCAGCTTCTTCCCATACTCATCTATCGCGGGGACACGTTGCAAAACATGGGGGCAAAGTAGTGCAGGGGACGCGGCACTACATCGCTTGACGGAAGTAGTCAAATTTCTCCTATTATATGGAGCCGTGTTGGATGCACCAGCGAACCCATTCAAAGGATTAACGGCTCTTTACTGTGCTGTACTTAGCGGCAAAATCGACCTTGTGCAATATCTGCCGGATTCCGGGGCAGATGGAGAACAGCACTTCAGGCCGCGGCATCCAGTGTGGACATAAACTTCTCCTATAAGCGAGAGCCAACATAAATGCTCACGCATGTCTGAGAGGATGCGTAACCGCATTGCAGGAAGCCACAATCTGTGTCATCTCCAACTCAGTTTACTTGTTCTCAAGAAGGGCGCGGATGTGGACGCTCCCGCATCGACTATTGAAGGCCGGACGACTATCAAAAGAGCCGCTCAGAACGGCTGTCTAGCCATGGTGCTCATTCAGCTGGATGTGAGGACTGTAAGACTCGGGGTCAGACACAAATCGGGTTCAACACGCCATTTCTTCCACTAGAAAAGACAGTCTTCCTGTCGTGGTTAGCTTACTTGAGGGTCATTGTGCGTGGGGAAGAGAACAAAGCACCAATAACTGTGGCGTCAAGTCCTCGACTCTCATGAATGAGTGTGTAGGCTGAGGTTGTCCTAGGACCTCCCAGATCTTGTCGAACTTTTCGGAGACCTTGCTGAACTCTAACCCAGTCATTAGGTACTAGGACAAAGAAAGATTGCATCTTCTGGTCCTTCTCATTGAGCGCGGCTCGCTCTCGAGGACCTCGCTCAATCTGACAACAAAGGACGATACGGCCCTACAGCACGTTTCCTTTGAAATTCGATCCTCCCTTTCCTTTTCTTTTTCTGGGTCCCTGACAAAGCGCGGAGAGTTCTCTTGACTTTATCAAAGTAAGTGGTTTTCTCAGCCGCGGTGTTTCTTTGTCGGGACGTCTGGGCGGTGCTTTGTTATCGAGTGTACGCAAGAAGACTCGACGGTAGAGAATCTTCTGGTTTCACCTCTCTTTCATATTTCCACACGGTCTTGGCTTGTACCATGGTTCAGAGATATCGAGTTCAAGGAAATCACCTCGAGGATTGATTGCTTGAAACGGACATTCCCTGCTTCTTGTCGGGAAGATCCCTGTGCACTACAGTCAATACACGGGTCAATAATGTTCAAGTCTTCATATATATAGCGACGTTTTTCGGCCAGGACATGTTGGTCCTCAACATCGTGAACAACTGATTCATACGTGCAAGATGGCCCGCCGATCAAAGAGGGCCGAGCGCCGAGCACAGAGGGCCGCCGAGCTCCGATACCCCCCCGAAAACAAAGTCGAAATGATTTTTCGGGAATACCCATGCAAGGTCTCTCGTTTTCTGGAGACCCATGGAATCCCTAACGTGCTCTGGGGAGAACTTGTGATGAATATGTTTCTCATTCCCGTCGTGCCAGACGTAAGTCCCCATTTTCCCCTGAGGCACCACAACTAGAGTTGGAGGAGCTAACCACCAGACAACAACAGGGCATCTACTTCATCATCCCCGATGAACATATCGAGAAAGCACGCGACCTCCTGGTGGCAGCCGGCTTCCCCCCCTGCCAGCTGGGGAAGTATTGCGGCTTCGACTGGCCCAAGTCTACCCATGCGATCCCCTACGCGCACTTCAATATCATAGACTGCGGTCCCTTAGATTACTCCAAACCCGAGGAGTATGGTCCAAATCCCCGCCAATGGTATACGCTGGAACTCTACAAGAAGTCCGAGATGCTGTGGGGAGCGCCCGAGATCCCACTCGGCCCACCTCCCCCGAACGACCCAGACTACTGGACGATCAATGATGAGCGTCTTCCAGAAGTCAACAGGGCGTTCCAGCAAGGCCGCGTTGTTGACGCGGATTATCCGGTCAAGATCCCCTCGCCAGCGCGCTACGCCGAGATGCTGACCCTCTTGTTCTTCCGGGACAATTACCCGGAAGAGACTTTCAGAGGGAGCTACTGGGATTATTTGCTGATAGACATGCACACCGTGTTGCAGAAGCACCGCCTCTTCGAGATGAAGGACCTTCCGCCTCGTACTCGAAGCTGGTTCAAAATTCTGCTCGAAACCCCAGAGGAAAGAGTGTATGGGGATGCCGAGGAAAGGTTTGGGGAGGAGATGAGGAAGTCGGGCGAGGTGCCCGAAAAAAGTCCCTGGCCGTCGGAACAAACGATGCCGCCTGGATGGCGTGAAGAGCTTAAACGGTGGGATGAGGAGGAAGAGCAGAGGAAAAAGAAGAAGGAGGAGGAAGAGCAGATGAGGAAGAAAGAAGAAGAGGTGAAAGAGGAGCAGAATGCGTGATGGAATGATGGGTGAGCTCTACAGCTGTTTGGTGTTTGTCCTTTACTCATTTACTTATTGTTGCTGATTGCCATATTCTGATTATATGTTTGTTCAACTTGCTTATTTGTTAAGTCAATCAATGATGTTGTCATACTTGTTCCGTGATGTTAGGAGAATTTTCATCTGAGACCTATTCCAGTGACTGTGGCATAATGAATGCTTTCAGTCAATAATGTCTTGTATCAGGGTGGCTCACAACGCCACCCCCATGTCTCCCATAATGAAGACGAACTGTATGCTCCATGTGATGTTAATAAAGGATTAAAAAAAGAAAAGATCTTTGTGTATCTGCTGTGCCTCCATGTATATCCTTAACCTTGTTTCAAAGTGAACATCTATTGCAAGACACAGCGGTTCTTGAACCAGATGATGACCATAAATAACGGGGTCCATTCCCTTCTTCATAGGCTCAGTCAGTATCAACTTCGTTTCATTAATCTCTGCAACTTCCTTTACAACCAGTATCCGAAAACCAACAACTCTCAAGATGGACATAACTCGCTTGCCTGACGATATCCTTGATCCCGCACTCAAAACTGCAGCAGAGACGCTCATTCAGTGTCTCCACACAATGCCAGAATTGCGGGGAGCTAAGGTTGCAATTATCGGTGGGATGGCAGTTAAACATCATTTGGAAGGCCGCCGGCGAACCTATGTGAGTGGACTGAAGAACCAGATCTACCAACTCGTGCTGACGAGAGCATGCATCCTGGTGCAGGATGTGGATGTTCTGCTTTTCAGACCTGACCGTCCCATTGACTACCAATTGATGCGCAAGGAGCTGGTCTCCCGGTTCTCAGGTTTGTTCAAGGAGCGCGCAGGGCCTCTGTTTTTCAAGTACAAACATACGGTCGAGCTTAAGAAGAAGCGGAAGGCCAAACGTTCGTACTTTGTGCAGGTGGACATTATTCCCGACTATTTGGTATGTTTGCGTGCCCTGGCCAGATATATCAAGTCAAACTAACGTGATTGACGACAGCCACCGTACCTGCCTGCGCAGGCAATAACGCTGGAAGACGTGGACATAGGCCATCTGCCTTTTGTCAACCCGCTGGACCTTCTTTCCTACAAGGTCCACTGCTCAAGCCTGCGTCCCTGTCTCAGAAAACGAACACAGGACGCCAAGGACGCGGTGAAGCTCTGGCAAGCTTATTACGGCGAAGAGTATGTTCCGCTGAGCAAAGGACAGAGAGACGCCATCGCTTCGGGGGTGGATCTGATGGCGGAATTTTCCAGGAATTGCCGCTGGAGGAAGTGGAGGCTGAGACAATGGGTGAATCTGTGAGAGAGGCGCATCCTGTGGATGGGTTCAATGTTTAAATATATAGTATAGGTTGTGTAGCTGCTGGACAGTGACTGGTATAAAGAGATCTTACTAATGATAGCCCATCTGCCGGTGCCAACAAAGCATTTTAACGTATGAGAGATCCATAAACACCGACTTCTCACTTGTAAATAAGACAGCAATCAAGTTTAACCGTCATACACATTAGAGGAAAATCTATATCTAACGTAAAATATGGTACATGTCTATAACATCCTGTCCGAAGGACATATATATACAACGCTCAGTATATCCCGACCGTTGAACGCAGTCTATGCAAAAGCGGGGAGTTTCATCTTCTCCATGTAATCATCCAACAGCTTCTCCTCCTGGTCCACAAAGGGTTGAACCATTTCCTTCCCTTTGCGAATCTCCTTCTGCAATTGCTCCAACTCACTGTTGTCATCCCAAGCACGGCCAGACTTGACCTCCTTGCGCTGAGTGAGCGATCCTCCATTCTGACTCGTAGTGCCATTAGCAGTACCATTCGCCGCAGGCGCATTCAGAGGCGTATACCCAGCCGCCTCAAACGCATCGTTAGGAGGAACCGTATACCTCCCCTTCTTAAGCACGTACTTGCTGATCGAAACAGCAAGCAGCCTCTTCCTTCGACCCTCGTCCGTATCGGCCGACGCCTTCTTGCCCGTGCGCGGCTGCAAAAAATAGGTCACAATGTAGATCCATTTCTCATCATAGGAGGCGATATGCGACTGAACCTCGTACTTCATGTACGCTGGAATCTCGCGCTTGAAACTCGTGTAGACACCGCCGAGAACGAAGTGGAGTGGGCCGCGCTTGCCCTGCTTCTGGAGGCGCTTCTCGAGGAAGGCGGAGCCCTTCATTACCAGGGAACACATGAGGGCTGTTCGGGAGACGTCCAGATCGGAGAAGTACGTCGAGTTGGACTTGTGCATGTTCATGTCGATTTCCATGATTGGGGCGCGGGTGAAGATGCTTTTTGGTTTTAGGAGGTCGCTGCTGGGCTTTGGCGATTGCGCGACGGCCGGGGTCATGAGGTATCCATTTTGGAAGAAGTAGCGGTAGACGCGGATCTGGTTGTTTTTAGTATATGCGGAAACAAGAGGAGGGTGAGTATCTTACATGCCACACGAAAGGCAGGGTTTTGAGGTTGAGCAATGCGAACCCGATTGCGAGGGTTTTCCAAAAAGTGAGAGACTGCCAGAGCGAGCTGGCTAGTGATAGTATGGATTCCATTTTTATATTGCTCCCTCCGCCGATTACACTTCAGTATGAGAATGCGCAGAACATAGATAGAAGAGCAAGGGAAAAGAGGAAAGAAGATATCCTCAATGAAGTGAATTTTCCTTGACCCATCTTATCTGATTACTGATCTTGAGTTCTAGAAAAAATCCCAGCGAAACTGCCAATTCAACCAATCACGGATCTGTTGGGAAGAAGTTGAAGATACCTCGGCTCGGGGTCGGCCCAAAACAGTAACAAGTCCGCTCCTTCGGTTCCTCCGGTGCCAAGACATCGGAATCGGGGTGACACACTTCCGCCGAGATTCTTCCGGCGGCGGGATTGCGCCACATGGATAGTTACGGTTGTACAGCCATGAGAGCAGCCATGAGTGAGATCATAGTAGGAGCCTTTGAATGTTCCCGTGTGGGGTAACATGGGAATACCCGTTCCTGTGGGGGTTCAAAGTTCTGTCTCATCCTTCAGGAATCAGGATCACCGGCTCCGCCAATAGCACTTTTCCTTTCTGTCGATAGCCCACTCAACTGTCTGAGAGATCTGCGATCGGCAATTGAAGATTCCCATCGGGCATGGTCGGCTACTGCGACTGGATTTTGAGGTCCAACAGAGATTTCAAAACGCCATTGAAGCCTCAGTCTGGTTCAGCCTACGCAATACTCAAGCGCTTGCCATATGAGTAGCCCAGACCAAGTTTCTAACTCTTCTCACTGAATACTGCCAAGGCAACAACATACAACAACTCTTACGATGGCCAGTAACCAGGTTGCCTTCCTTAAACATCAGGAAGAGTTTGACGAAATATTGGGCTATAATTCCCCAGAACCACACGTTTCGGTACTCGCAGACGAGAGTCCTGCAAGATTGCCTCTTTATCATGAAGCTTGCGTTTACCATCCACCGACACGCAGCATCTTCGTGACCTCAAACCAGATGCCAAATCTTTCTCACCAACGAAACCTAGCAACCGAAGACAAGCATATCAAGCTCTCCCGAGTCTATGATACGTATCAAGGCTCTTCGACGGAATCGAATGTTGCCAAAGTCGAGGACATCACCTTTCCACATATCGACGGTGCCATGCTGAATGGCGGTGTCAATTTGGGCCTTGATCACATTCTCTTCTGCGCGCAGGGTTCAAAAGAGTCGAGTGATCCTTCGGGTATCATGAAAGTCGCAGTTCCGTCTGAGGGCAGCGGTGACACTACATCAGAGATTGTGATCGGCTCTTTCTACGGGACTCCATTCAATTCAGTCAACGACGTGGTTGTACATCCGCTTGACTCCTCCATCTGGTTTACAGATCCTCACTATGGCTTCCACCAGGGCATCAGGCATCAGCCGCAGCTCCCAAATCAAGTCTATCGTTATGATCCCGGTAACGGATCGGTTCGCGTTGTTGCAGACGGCTTCATCCGGCCTAACGGTCTCTGCTTCTCACCTGGCCTCGACACACTCTATGTGACAGATACAGGTGCAATTCATGGCTCAACGTTAGTGCCATTCAATCCGGCAGGGCCCTCTCATATCTATGCCTTTGATATTGTCTACCCCGGCGGGCGGTCCGAACCACAGTTGGTGAACCGTCGCGTATTCGCGTATGCCCCCGGAAAAGTACCAGACGGAATCAAATGCGATACCCGTGGCAATGTCTACGCTGGATGCGCGGATGGAATTGAAGTGTGGAATCCTAGCGGTGTGCTTATCGGCACGATTAGAATCCCAGGTGGAGTCGCGAATTTCTGCTTCGGAGAGAATGGAGTCATATATGCTTGCAACGAGACCAGATTGCTTAGAATACATTTGCGCGGAGAAGGTGTCAAAGGGGCTCTTTTAGGTTTATGAGATAAACAAGCAATCATACACTTGGATCAAGGAGATCGTAACGGAAATAATTCATATTCGACGGCAAATGTAGTAGACTTGAATCAAAAACATGGAGGAGCCACAGAGGCGATGAAGTTTCCATGATTTATTATCCCACAATAGTCATAACACGAAGAAAGTAGCTTCACAACAAAGTGCTGATGATGGAGTTGTGAAAGTATTTAGGCCAATGATAAACTAGTCTCTTGCGCTTACAACTCTATTCAAGACATCTTTCTAACAAGTCCATTGTTGTTCGACATGCCGAAGGATTTACCCCAGACCTCATTTCTCCCGTCAAATCCAGGATAACCCCATCTCTTGAGCAAGTCTCTTCACTGTCGTCATCAATGAGACTGCGCCAGTCCGTTCATAGTCTTTGACGAAAGAAAAGCGACTTGGACCATGTGCTTTTCGGCTTTAACAACCGACTTGGTGTGAACCATAGCACTGTCATGGGCCCGTTGATGCCACGACATTGGAATAGGTACGGCACGGTTCCGACACTGAGATTTTATGGTTGTAGCGTGGAAAAAGATGTAAGTCTCTTCCAAAGAAACAGTTACAGTTTATTTCCCATGTTGACATGTACGGCCTTGATCCGACTATAGGCGGCCAGACCAGCTTCACCAAGCTCCCGCCCAATGCCGCTCTGTTTGACACCCCCAAACGGCACACGAGGATCACAGTCTTGACTACTATTGATCCAGACCATCCCCGAGTCAATCTCTGAGGCAACCCTATGCGCCCGTTCCAGACCCTTTGTGAACACGGCTGCCCCAAGACCATAGATGGTATCATTGGCCCGGCGGATGGCTTCTTCTTCCGTTGCGAATGGCTCGATAATCACCACGGGCCCGAAGACCTCCTCGCGGACGATAGCCATCGAGTCTGTGGTACCTGTGAAAACAGTAGGCTGGACAAAATATCCATCTCTATTTTTGTCTTCGCTGGGGACATATTGACCTCCACCAATGACGAGTTTTGCACCGTCTTTCTTGGCCATCTCAATATGCGAGAGGATACGCTCATACTGGGTTCGTGTCACCTGTGGGCCCTGAAACGTAGATTCATCCCACTGGTCACCGATCTTGGACGTGGTTTCGATCGCCTGTTTGAATCTCTCCAGGAAGGAAGGGAAGACGTCCTGATGGACGTAGATGCGGGAAGTAGCCGTGCAGATCTGGCCTTGGTTTGACATGATGCCGAAATGCGACCATTTCACGGCTTGTTCCATGTCAGCGTCTGGGAATACCAGAAGTGGTGACTTTCCACCAGTCTCGAGTGTGATATCTTTCAACGTTCCCGCGGCCATCTTCATGATCTCTCTTGCTGTTTGCGTTGAGCCGGTGAAAGCAATCTTATCGACTAGCGGATGAGATGCCAGCGCAGCACCGGCTTCTCTCCCGTATCCATTGACAATATTCACGACCCCAGGAGGGAATCCCGCCTCCTCAATTAGCTCCGCGAGCACAAGGGCGCTGAGAGGTGTCTGCTCGGCGGGTTTCAGAACGACCGTGTTCCCACAAGCTAATGCAGGGCCGAGTTTCCAGGTAGCCATGGACAAGGGGTAGTTCCACGGGATGATCTGTCCAACGACGCCAATCGGCTGACGAATTGTATACGCGAACTTGTTAGATGTCGTGCTGATGGTCTGACCCGCGATCTTATCAGCCCAGCCACTATAGTAACGGATGGTTGTAATGGCCTCGGTGAGGTCCTCTTCCAGCGCTACGTGATATGGTTTCCCTATTTGGGTTAGATGTGATTCAAGGCTTTGCAAGAGCAGCATACCGTTATCCCATGCATCGATTGAGGCAAGCAACTCCCGCTTTTGTCCCATCAGATCGGCCAACTTCGCCAGTAGTATCCCCCGGTCGGTAGCAGGAAGCTGTTTCCAGGAGGGATGTACCAGGGCAGCCCGGGCGGACTTCACAGCTCGATCTACATCCTCGGCGCTGGCTGCGTGGACTGTGGTGATGGGTTTATCGGTGCTGCACATATGCATTAGTTAAATTGACTGAATGAGTGCGCCCAAACAGGATGCTCCAGGCATACGCAGGGTCAATTGAAGTGATAGTTTGCCCGCTCGACCCCGGGACAAAAGAATTGCCAATGAAGAGGCCAGTCGGCTGTCGGTAAGCGTGATTATTCGGGGTCGTTATATCGACAAAGAGGTCTGCCATGGTTCTGACTGTGCGTATGTGTGTAATTGTATAATCGACGATGAGATTCAGAGTTTATGGCCACTGTCGATTCTAATATAGGCCTTGTTTATCTCCATCTAGTCTGGTATCTGATGCAGAGAAAGGAGTGGGTTTCTGCGGATCGACATGCCTAATGTGATGCCAGATGCAAGGGTGGCTATGCACAAGTGCAATCCCTTTCTGGAAGGTCCTTCCGAATTTCAGTGTTCTGCATTCTGATTGGTCATTGGAATCAGTCCATGAGGGACAATCAGAGTTCGCTGGTCAGTTTTTGTGCATGATTCGAGGCATTTGCGTTGCTACCCCGGATATGAACACCTGTAGCAGCAAAGTCCGGAGGGACCTGGGTAAGCCAATATTTTACTCTAGCAAGGCTAATCGGGAGTAATAGGCCCAGAACTGTGACAACCGGATACATAGCTACAGGCAGATTGAATAAGAGTCAACAGATGGTTTAATATGAGAAATCGCCTATTCTGATGAAATGACTACCAAGTATCGCTAGAAGAGAATGCTAGGAATGCTTAATAACCCCCGCGGTCTTGCCCTACAGCCTTGCCAACTGCCCGTTTGATTTCAGAACTGACAGATAGCTCTCATTAATGTCACTAATAGATGTGCAGCTGCGATCGTTAGTCAAGGGCATAAATCAAGACAGTGTAGGACTCACCCTGCAAGAGCCATGGTAATCTTCAGTTCTTGCCGTAGAATCCTGATTGCCAACTCGACGCCCTCCTGGCCATTATACTGAATGTATATTAGCTTATCACTATAACGACACGCCAGAGAACAAGCCTTACTGCAAGGCCCCAAATGGGGATCCTCCCTACGAAACAGTAACTGGCCCCAAGTGCAAGAGCCTTAAAGATATCCGATCCTCGCCGGATGCCCCCGTCAATTGCAAGTGGGATTCGCCCCCGTGCAATCGGGGCACATAGTCTCAGTGCATCTAGCGTTGCTGGGATTCCGTCCAGCTGGCGACCGCCGTGGTTGGAGATCACAATTCCGTCGACGCCGTAATAAATTGCTAGTTCGACGTCTGCGGGGAAGCAAACTGTTCCGGATCATGTCAGTCAAAGGAATGCCCAGTCTCTTGAGGAAGGAAGACGGCGTACTCCCTTTGAGCCATATCTGCAACGAGGTATGTTTTCTGAGCCACGGGATTGTGCTTTCCCAGTCGAGACTTGGATCTGCTTTGGTTACTTTTCTGCGGTAGCCCTCGGGAATAGGCATTCCTACCATAGTCAGTACGGTTTGAGGTATCAGCGCCGTAACTGAGGATATTCGGCCAGTTCATATCTTCCGGAAGGGTATAGCTATTGCGGTATTCATTGAGCCTCTTTCCGAGCACAGGGACATCGACCGAAAGGAATAGTGCCTTGTATCCCGCCTCTGCGCCATGTTAGTACGTATAACGTCTGGCAGGGACGCGAGAGACATACTTTCAGCCCGTTCCAGTAGCTGAATTGTGATTGATCGATCCCGCAACACACACATCTGCATCACGTACGGGTTCCCGGTCCCCTGCGCAGCCACATCCTCCAGGGAATAATTCGAGTACGACGAGAGCCCCATGCAGATACCGTACTTTGCGGCAGCCCGTGATACCGCCAGTTCTCCATCTGGATGAGCTAGTTTTTGCGATGCAGCAGGGCTGAATCCAAACGGGAGGGAAGTCTTAGTCCCTAGGATTTCCGTGGTCGTATCAACGTGGTCGACGTTTCTCAGAACGCGAGGAAGGATTTTATAGCGGTCGAAGGCAGTTTCATTCTCTCGTAATCTGAGGGACATTTAGTTGATTGATCCTCGTCAAGTGGAATGATACGTACGTGATTAGATCCATTGCGCCTTCATTGTAGTAATCTATGTAAACTGTAAGGGTGCGAGTTCCACGAACAGATTGGATTTGCTCACCTCTGACCATCTTCGGAAGCTTACTGCTTCCTAGAGCTTTGAGGTCTGCTATGCAGGATACCTCGTTGTGTAGAGTCTCTCCTCGATGAGCCATCGAGACGATGATACTGTATGAAGACGTGGTCGGAAAATAGGTTGAGCATACAATGGAGAAATTACTTGCGAACAAGAGACCTATCCGCCTTTCTGAACGGCTTGCATCCAGTCATCTGAATTTCTTATCATGTCATTTCCGATATGCTTTTATTTGTGGCACGAACCTACCTCGGAGTTACGTTTGAGAGCTCAGCGGAACCAATTACCCCATCTGCATTGTTGCATGCATCGCATGAGAGACTTGCGGAACAACCTTCCACAAGCACTATAAGCCTCCCACTAACATCATATATTATTCCGAAGCCCATGGAATTAGAAGTTCCCAAATTACTCCGTAAGCATTGACCTTTCTTACTGAGTTTCAGTAACCCCCTGCGATATGACTATCCCCACTCGCATTTTCCTGTAGGTGGCTTTCGAACAATATACTACAGGGCTCCGTCACTGACAGGACTATAGCACAGGTGCCTCTGGCTATATTGGCGGCGATGTCCTTCACGCGCTACGGTCCACTCATCCCGAGTATAGTATTTCTACTCTGGTGAGGGACGCAAGAAAAGCTGCGATTCTGTCTCAAGCCTATCCAAACGTTCGAGTGGTCAGTGGTGATCTCGATTCCACATCCCTGATTGAAGAGGAAGCTCGTCAGGCTGATGTGGTCGTTCGTAAGTCATTAAGCAGAAGATATCGAGGTGCCGCTGATAGTCTGAGTCTGCAGATACTGCCAGTTCAAGCCACATTGAAAGTGTCAAGGCTATTGCTCGCGGTCTAGCTAAGCGCAGTGATCCCGGTAGGCCGAACAGTCATTTTCATCTAAAGAGCGGCATGCTGACTCTACAAGGCTACTGGCTTCAGATCTCGGGCGCAAGTGTCCTTTCAATTGCCGATATTGTCAACGGCACATACGGAGAAGGAACTGACAAGGTTTTTGGCGATGTCGACAATGCTGACGCTGTCCGCGACATTATTCGCCAGAATGCGACTCGCCGTGTAGTCGATGACTTTGTTCTTAACCTGACCGGCCCCAAGACGGCTCTTGTGTTTGCACCGATCATTTATGGACAAGGTCGAGGCATCATCAAGCAGCGGAGTATTCAGATCCCAGAACTTGCCAGAGTCGCCATCGAAACCGGACGAGCGATCAAGGTGGGCAAGGGCGAGAGCACTTGGAGCAACGTTCATATCTCCGACATCAGCGATCTTTTCGTAAAGCTGGTTGAAAAGGCTGTTCAGAAAGGGACAGACGAGCACATGTGGAATCAAGAGGGGCTATACTTCCCCGGCAACTCGATGCTGGTAAGCCGACGGCTCTGGAGAATTTGTCGTTCTTGTGTGTCCAAAGTACTGACGTCGGCAACCAGAGCTTTAGCGGGATTTCCCAGTTGCTTGCTCAGACGGCCCACCGTCTCGGCTTGATAGAGTCGCCTCTAGTCTCTGAGATCGACCATGAGGCTGCGGACAAGTTATCTCCCCACGGGGGAGTTCTATGGGGCACCAACGCTCGCCAGAACAGTCAACGGGCGAGAAAACTGCTGGGGTGGTGTCCAGGTGGCAGGAGTCTGGAGAGTGATATTCCTGATACAGTGGAGGAGGAGGCAAAGCGAGTTAAGCGACTTTGGAAATCATACATATAATGATGGAATGAAGAAACATTGACATGATAGTTGTATGCTTAACTATGGAAACATGAGTATTGTCTGCTACAAGCTATCAATCCTACTTCCCTCAAGCTGTGAATCCCAATACACCGTCTTCAAGGGACTGGAAGATACCATTAATGAGAAGCAATTTCCAATGGCATTCATTATATTTTAAGATTTCGGCTATGAAATGCGGGGTTAATGCACTATTCACTTTCAACTCCCAAATAGGCAAGTGCTTCCGATGCCGTTTGACCTCCTCCGTCCCAAAGAGACCGGCAAGCAATCGCTTCAAAGACGCAATCTCCTGTCATGCGGCGGTTTCCAGCTTGGTTTGGTCTATCCCTGTCCGTTTCCTCATAGCAATGACTCCGATAACTTCAACTTTCATCCTGCCGCGCCGGACTCACGCACTAGGAGCATGTCGCACCTGCAGACGTCGGCATGTCAAGTGCGACCAAAAGCGGCCTTCATGTCGTACATGTCGATCACTGGGTGTCACATGCGAGCGTCCTCCAAGCAAGGTACGATGGATGCATAATCCCCATACCGGCGATAGTGCAGAGGACCAACGCGAAACCCGTCGGCATCTTTACACAGGTGAGCCTAGCCGTTTTAGACGCGGGCATGTATAATGATTGCCAGCTAATGCGGGTACAGAGCAATCTAGATTGTCCATGACATCCTCACTGCGCTCGCGACTAGTCTCAGGCTCAATCAATGCGTCGTTGGCTGAGATTGACCTCCGAACCAGAGACATTGACAACCCTCCCACAGGCGATATCATCGTCGGTCCATTTGCAGTTTTAGGACAGCCTACTCCTGAGTCCCAGAGGGGAGATAGCGTGGTACAGCAGGAGGCCGAACAAGATGCACTGGATTCCACTTCTGTCGAGTCAGAGGCTCACATTGCCCAGCCGATCAGCCCGCCAATGATCGAGGATAGTTCTGAGGCTATGGCCCAGCCGACGACATTCGCTCAGACATCTTTTATTCCGGACTCTGTATGCCATTTTGACGATTTCCTCCACTGGTCGGATCTGCTTGGTTGCAGTCCAGATGCTCTTGATTGGAACCCTGCGCCGTTGTCAAACGACATGAATCTGGGGACAAATTTAGCCGCGCTCGGTCCGGAGTTCGAAATGGATCCTATGCCTTTCGGCGGACCAGCAAATGCCGGGTTATTCTCAGACGCCCCAGGTGGGAACGGCTCCTTGCAGATGATCGAACCGACAGAGATGGCCTCCACTTTGCTACATGCCGCTTCATTGACAGAGGCCCCCTTCCTCTTCAAACATTTCCATGATAACGTGATTCCTCAAACAATGCCTATGCCTCTGGGCAAAAAGTCTCCGTGGAAAATTCTGAATGTACCAGCCGCAATGGTTACTTACGGCGATCTGACCATACTTGGATCCCAGAATATCAACCATGCGCGCCAGGCCAATCTATACGGGTTGTTGGCCTGTTCTGCTATCCATTTATCCATGTATCCAAGCGCACACTCGTCAGATGCGGCCAAACACTGGCAAGGAACAGCCGAGAATTTGTTCGAGCAGGCCAGGGAGCATATGCAACTCTCGATAAAGTATGAAACTCAAGAGCCGAAAAGGGCCAAGTACAAGGATCAACTAATGGCCATATGTTGCTTGACTGAATACGCTGTAAGTTCATGACATCCAATGTCCTGTTCACCTTCTGAAGAGCGAAGGTTAACGTGCTTAGATATTGTCTGGGCAACAACACTATGCTCGTGGATTCCTTATCCACGCTGAGTACATTCTACGCATGCGGGGCCTGCCGAAACGACGGATCTCGCCAAAGGCGCGTCTCCTACACCATGTTTATACGTGGCTGCGACTTGTAGGTGAGAGTACCTATGTTCTTCATGACTATCAGCCCTCCGCCTCCTTTATCGAGGCCTTTGATTCCGACTTTCGCCCTAGTCGACGTGATCCGCACAGTCAGATCAGAAGCGAAGCGCATCAGAAGGTCCCGCAGCTCGACGACTTCCTGCGACTCGAAGCACACCATTCAGACAGTGACCTGAACATCGACGATCCCAAAGATCAGGAGACCGGGCTGCATGATATTCATCTGCAGGACTCGCGCAACTTTTCGGATACACTATACAAGCAGATCTACGGCATCCCCGAGACATGGCTCACACTCGTATCCCAGACCACGAGGCTCGCCAACGTGATGGAGACGTTTCGAATTGCACGTCAATCACAGAATAAGGCTTCCCCTGAGGCGTGGGAAACGCTCCACCGCCGCAGTGAGCACTTGGAAAATATGATCTGCTCCTTTGTTCTGCGACATGATCGTCGGATACGCCCCAAGCACCTCGACTCATCCAAACCCCATGAGCCCATGTTACGAGCATTGAACGGCGCTCTGCTAATTTTCTTTTACCGGCGGGTTCGACAAGTTCATCCTGCTGTTCTTAATGGTTATGTGGACAATGTTATCACGGCTCTGGCTGAGTTTCAGGAAGCCGTACCAGCAGAGCATCCCATGAGCCCTGCAACGGCTTGGCCAATGTTTATTGCGGGGTGTGAGGCGCTCACAGCCTCTAGACGGGACGCTGTCCTTCAATTCTTCAACAGGGCCGAGTCTATCTGTCGATTCCCCGTATTTGAAACGGCCAGGGAAATTCTGACCAACGTATGGAACCAGCAGGATCAGCATTTGGAGACGAATAGACGGGATCCGATGCCAACGTGGATTAATATTGTCAGGCAAAAGCATCTATGGCCTCTTTTTTGCTGATGTACTTATACGATACCCTGCGCCGCTACTGAATGTATTACTACGTTAACTCATAGCTCAATTTCAGTCAAACAATCATTGGGCTGATATATTGAACTACCAAGTCAAGGACATTACTTCATTGTTCACTATACCTTTCCTAATCTTTGAAGTAGTCATCATCTAGCCATTTATATCGTGGTTACACCAGCGTCGATCAGCAACTGCTTCAGCTGTGCCTGCAATTCAGGGCCAAGTGACTTGAACGGCTTCCTCAAGCCTCCAGTGGCTTGTCCAGTCAGCTCCACCCCAGCCTTGACAGCCGCCGCATAGTTATGCGATTCCAAAAACTTGCAGATAGGCCAAATCTTCGTCCACAGCTCGCGCCCTCGCTTCAGATCCCCTTTCACCGAGACCGTCTCATACAGCTCGACTGCGAGCTCAGGAATGAAATTGGCCGCTCCCCACACCCCGCCGGGACAACCGGCCACAAGACCGTAGAAGGTCAGTGTATCCCAGCCATTGAACGCGGTGATCTTATCCGAAAGCCCAAAGACCAACTCTGTGAAGGCGGGGGCATTCCCCGACGTGTCTTTCAGATACTTGA